CACATCGCCTTGTAGACACTTCAGTGAGTGTAAGTGCACATCGCCATGTAGACACTTCAGTAAGTGTAAGTACACAACGCCATGTAGACACTTCAGTGAGTGTAAGTACACATCGCCATGTAGACACTTCAATGAGTGTAAGTATACATCGCCATGTAGACACTTCAGTGAGTGTAAGTATACATCGCCATGTAGACACTTCAATGAGTGTAAGTATACATCGCCATGTAGACACTTCAATGAGTGTAAGTATACATCGCCTTGTAGACACTTCAATGAGTTTAAGTATACATCGCCATGTAGACACTTCAATAAGTGTAAGTGCACATCGCCTTGTAGACACTTCAATGAGTGTAAGTGCACATCGCCATGTAGACACTTCAGTGAGTGTAAGTGCACATCGCCATGTAGACACTTCAATCAGGGTGTAAGTGCACATCGCCATGTAGACACTTCAGTGAGTGTAAGTACACATCGCCATGTAGACACTTGAATGAGTGTAAGTACACATCGCCATGTAGACACTTCAGTGAGTGTAAGTATACATCGCCATGTAGACACTTCAGTGAGTGTAAGTACACATCGCCATGTAGACACTTCAGTGAGTGTAAGTACACATCGCCATGTAGACACTTCAATCAGGGTGTAAGTGCACATCGCCATGTAGACACTTCAGTGAGTGTAAGTGCACATCGCCATGTAGACACTTCAGTGAGTGTAAGTACACATCGCCATGTAGACATTTCAGTGAGTGTAAGTATACATCGCCATGTAGACACTTCAGTGAGTGTAAGTATACATCGCCATGTAGACACTTCAGTGAGTGTAAGTGCACATCGCCATGTAGACACTTCAGTGAGTGTAAGTACACATCGCCATGTAGACACTTCAGTGAGTGTAAGTACACATAGCCATGTAGACACTTCAATCAGGGTGTAAGTGCACATCGCCATGTAGACACTTCAATCAGGGTGTAAGTGCACATCGCCATGTAGACACTTCAATCAGGGTGTGAGTGTACATCGCCATGTAGACACTTCAATGAGTGTAAGTGCGCATCGCCATGTAGACACTTCAGTGAGTGTAAGTACACATCGCCATGTAGACACTTCAGTGAGTGTAAGTACACATCGCCATGTAGACACTTCAGTGAGTGTAAGTATACATCGCCATGTAGGCACTTCAGTGAACGTAAGTATACATCGCCATGTAGGCACTTCAGTGAGTGTAAGTACACATCGCCATGTAGGTACTTCAGTGAACGTAAGTACACATCGCCATGTAGACACTTCAGTGAACGTAAGTACACATCGCCATGTAGACACTTCAGTGAGTGTAAGTATACATCACCATGTAGACACTTCAGTGAGTGTAAGTACACATCGCCATGTAGACACTTCAGTGAGTGTAAGTATACATCGCCATGTAGGCACTTCAGTGAACGTAAGTATACATCGCCATGTAGGCACTTCAGTGAGTGTAAGTACACATCGCCATGTAGGTACTTCAGTGAACGTAAGTACACATCGCCATGTAGACACTTCAGTGAACGTAAGTACACATCGCCATGTAGACACTTCAGTGAGTGTAAGTATACATCACCATGTAGACACTTCAGTGAGTGTAAGTACACATCGCCATGTAGACACTTCAGTGAGTGTAAGTATACATCGCCATGTAGACACTTCAGTGAACGTAAGTACACATCGCCATGTAGACACTTCAGTGAACGTAAGTACACATCGCCATGTAGACACTTCAGTGAGTGTAAGTATACATCACCATGTAGACACTTCAGTGAGTGTAAGTACACATCGCCATGTAGACACTTCAGTGAGTGTAAGTATACATCGCCATGTAGGCACTTCAGTGAACGTAAGTATACATCGCCATGTAGGCACTTCAGTGAGTGTAAGTACACATCGCCATGTAGGTACTTCAGTGAACGTAAGTACACATCGCCATGTAGACACTTCAGTGAACGTAAGTACACATCGCCATGTAGACACTTCAGTGAGTGTAAGTATACATCACCATGTAGACACTTGAGTGAGTGTAAGTACACATCGCCATGTAGACACTTCAGTGAGTGTAAGTATACATCGCCATGTAGACACTTCAGTGAGTGTAAGTACACATCACCATGTAGGCACTTCAATCAGGGTGTAAGTGCACATCGCCATGTAGACACTTCAATCAGGGTGTAAGTGCACATCGCCATGTAGACACTTCAATCAGGGTGTAAGTGCACATCGCCATGTAGACACTTCAATCAGGGTGTAAGTGCACATCGCCATGTAGACACTTCAGTGAGTGTAAGTATACATCGCCATGTAGGCACTTCATTGAACGTAAGTATACATCGCCATGTAGGCACTTCAGTGAGTGTAAGTACACATCGCCATGTAGGCACTTCAGTGAACGTAAGTATACATCGCCATGTAGACACTTTAGTGAGTGTAAATACACATCGCCATGTAGACACTTCAGTGAGTGTAAGTACACATCGCCATGTAGACACTTCAGTGAACGTAAGTGCACATCGCCATGTAGACACTTCAGTGAGTGTAAGTATACATCACCATGTAGACACTTCAGTGAGTGTAAGTATACATCACCATGTAGACACTTCAGTGAGTGTAAGTACACATCACCATGTAGACACTTCAGTGAGTGTAAGTATACATCACCATGTAGACACTTTAGTGAGTGTAAATACACATCGCCATGTAGACACTTCAGTGAGTGTAAGTACACATCACCATGTAGACACTTCAGTGAACGTAAGTGCACATCGCCATGTAGACACTTCAGTGAGTGTAAGTATACATCACCATGTAGACACTTCAGTGAGTGTAAGTATACATCACCATGTAGACACTTCAGTGAGTGTAAGTATACATCACCATGTAGACACTTCAGTGAGTGTAAGTATACATCACCATGTAGACACTTCAGTGAGTGTAAGTACACATCACCATGTAGAAACTTCAGTGAGTGTAAGTGAACATCCCCATGTAGACACTTCAGTGAGTGTAATTACACATCGCCATGTAGACAGTTATGTTTCACTTCAATGTGGGATGAAGTTACTTCCTTAGAGATGCGGCCGTCCCAGGGGAATGCATAACGAGCGCCTGTTACCACGGACATACGTGTAGCTAAATAATAGTGCGGGTGCAGACAAGCAGGTCATGCATACCAATAGATATACACTACTGATACAGACCTAGCTAATAGAGAAGGGTGTCAGGATTTCTATGCAATTCGACACTGAAATAAACATGAAATATGAAAGTCAATGCGATATGTATATTCCATAATAAAACAAAAAGCAGCAACGTCTATTTCCTTTTGAACCTTTGTGTTTCATGAACATACATATATTTACTATCTTTAATATTAGGTCTCAAGTTTAAATCAAGATGCAGATGAAGAAATCTTCTTTTAAATAGAGTCAAATCCTGGACCTTCATAAATTCATATTGTTACAAAATACACCAACATGTTTTATAACAACCTCTGACTTCCACTATATAAACTTTGCCGCCCCTTCGTTGTTTTAAGATAACATAGTCTTAACGTTCAAAGTTCAAATTCAAAGCTTTTTTGCCTCTGATAAAATGTATATTGCTGTATATGTCCTCTGACAAGTAGGACCATGAAAGAAATTCAGACAAATGCTACCTCCCTTGAACAAAACTTGAAAAAAACCAATGCTGTAACTTAAGCACAACTAATACGTGGTCGCTGCTAAGGCAAGGGACTTTGTTCGACATATGCCTCTGCTCACCGGCACCCCGTTTGATGAGACTGTAAAGTTTAGATTGTATACTCCCCAGGGAGCTCAAAATGACAACTGAGTGCACACTGATCCACTGACTGATCTACGATTTTGAGTGAAACGATGTCCGTTTTAATCGAAATCTGACTTTGGGGGTGGGTTGGTGTCGCTAGAGAAATTAGCTTTCAATATTTCTTTTTTATTGTTGGGGATCAATTTACCACAGGAGTCAGTAAATAACGTACATAATTGAAAAGAAAATGTAAAAAGCTTTCATATGATATATCATAATTTTTCTTTATGAGTTTACTATTTTTGTGTTTTTAAGCGTTGTTGCAATTATCCCACTTATCCACTACATCAACATAATCTATCACCATATCTAAATAAGCAATTTTCGTCAAAATTGTATTTTGAGGGTGGGGTAGCATTGTATACAATATCTCAGCCCCTATGTAATACATTTCCATTTTGTTTTCTGTATAAGATAGTACAATGGTTCAGGCAGATTTTGATACCAGTTGTAGTGGTTTACCAACTCACAAGATTTGAAAATGAAGTAAAAAGCATGTTTTTTTATCATTTCTTTCCACTGAGAATTAGAATAACAGTTATATGAAACAAAATGCTTGCCAAATTCAGATAACCGAACATATTACCTGTAATCAAAGACATAATTTGGATAGTTTGATGACTTAATACAAATGTTACAGCCAATTATTTCAAATTATGCAGTTTTCCTTCAATTTATGCAATTTATCCTTTATGCAACAGAAAAGGGTTAAGTTATACAGGAAAATGTGGGAACGAAAATCTTGTTTTTCACCCCTGGCCAACTGTTTATTTTAATGTTACCGCTTTGAGCGTGCTTACGGAAGTAGCCAAAGCATTCAGTTACCATTGAAACAGACCTGTTACTGGTATACCCTTTCTTTGCAGTGTATTGCGATCTTTATACGAGGAAGCAAACTAATTGTCGAATTCATTTGATTGAGTATCAAATAGTGATTTCTGCAGCAGAGTTTTCTGAGTCGAGCCACACCCGACGCATATGATACTTTGTCCAATGTATTTGATGAGGAAAAAGTGTGATCCACTGAAAACTTGAGTTATAAAAACAGGTATATAATAAATTACATAGCACAAAGGTCCTCGCATAGCGACATAAGTTCAGGATCCCTTTCACGCGTGCTGTAAAAGCCGGTGCATCACTTACTTGGGATTTTCTAGGTAAAACCTATCTAGTCTGTGCGACGGTTTGAGGAAAGATACGCTGTCCATCTTCTTGAGCCGACGATGTTGTAAACATAAGCAGATAATAACCAGTAGCAGCAGCAAAAGCGATATGCAACCAGCAAGCACAGCGAGCATCTGGCCGCTGGTACCCATGTCCACCCCACTGTATGCTGCTAAACTGAACAGCTCTGGAAACGAAATAGGAAAAAGAAGTCTTTATCTATTCCATGTTTAAGAATAAGATGACATGATGAACTGCAGTTAAAAAGTAATACAACCCCTTCAACTGAGCACACTTTATATAGTTTAGTACACATCAGCTCATTAGCAATAAAACCCTTTCAGCTGAACACACTGCATCTAGTTTAAAGGAATCAAAAAGTACACACTCAGTTTGGTCTTTGTTGATTGTGCGCCAGACAAAGGACCTTGGCCTCCTACGTTTACAGCTGCTACTTTGACCTCGTATGTAGTTTGTTCCTCTAGATTAGAGATGAGAGCAGTATGTTTCGCAGCACCGTCAACTGTCACCACGGAATATTCCCTGTCGTCTCTGTCGAGCTTCCTGTAGTAGATCACGTAGCCCCGTACGTCTTCTGGCGTGTTGGTGGTAGATGTCTGATACACAGCAACTTTTACATCAATGTTCAAAAGTCCAGAGGTTTAATTATGAGGTGTGATTCTTAGCTGAGAATAACGATAACGGGTGTCAAAGATACAACACATCTGATTGAAATAACATATACTAACATACATCATGAGGGATATGCACTTACATTCCATCTGACGGATAGTGACTGGTGGTCGATGGGGGAAACTGTGATCTGTGGTACAAACACGGGAGCTGCAAACATACATTCATAGCTTTGTATCTTGAATACATCCATGAGAAGAAGACATAATAAAATGTATGTATGTATGTATGTATGTATGTATGTATGTATGTATGTATGTATGTATGTATGTATGTATGTATGTGCGTATGTATGTATGTATGTATGTATGTATGTATGTATGTATGTATGTATGTATGTGCGTATGTATGTATGTATGTATGTATGTATGTATGTATGTATGTATGTATGTATGTATGTATGTATGTATGTATGTATGTGCGTATGTATGTATGTATGTATGTATGTATGTATGTATGTATGTATGTATGTATGTATGTATGTATGTATGTATGTATGTGCGTATGTATGTATGTATGTATGTATGTATGTATGTATGTATGTATGTATGTATGTATGTATGTGCGTATGTATGTATGTATGTATGTATGTATGTATGTATGTATGTATGTATGTATGTATGTGCGTATGTATGTATGTATGTATGTATGTATGTATGTATGTATGTATGTATGTATGTATGTATGTATGTATGTATGTATGTATGTATGTATGTGCGTATGGTCGGACAATTATTTGGTATCATAATTTATTTATACCTGGTTTGTACACATTCACCATGACACTTGTGGGGTCACTGCTCATGTTGATGAGGCTGTTGATTGCTCTCACAGACACCTGGTAAGAACCGTACTCGGCATTAATGCTGGCTTCAAGTGTATTTTTGGCAGATTGGGTCTGTTGCTTGACTTGAGTGTCATATTCGCCACTGGGTCCCCTTGCCACCAGGGAAACTTGGTACTCAACGTCATCTACAAACACATAACCACGACAACCAATGTTCCATATTATCCGGAAAGACAAAAGATTGATACCAGCTACCCCATTTCATTCGTTAACACAAAACAGTGGCCCCCGTCGATCCGCTTCAGTCACTCAGATACAGAATCGGGGCGAACCGCCATGCGAACCGCCATGCGAACCCACGTTTATTATTTTCAGGCACGCATATGGGGCGCAGCCAATCGCTGTGGATTTGAGACTATGTGGGGGAAAACTACATATGGTCATTTCATGCAGTACATTGCGTATATACTGTCTGATACATCAGCTCCTCCAACTTCAATAAAGACAAAGTATAACGGGATTATGAAATGTCATGGACTTAACCATATGTTAAGTTCGTGCAGTTGAAGTTTGCAAGGTCTCAACCTACTATAACGTAGCCGTTGATATATGCCAATAATACTGACCAATGTTTCCATAGAGGTGGAGTGAGTGGAACCATGTCACAGTGACTGTTGAATTCAACACACGTGCTGCCACGGCAACAGGAGAGGTAGGGGCTGGAATGCAATCAGTGGCCATGATAGAAACCAAGCATATTTTGTATAATGACGTGGCCTGGTCGCCCTGTAAGCCCCAACACACAGATGGTATGACTTGACCATACTTGTTCATCTTCGCGGGAAACTATAAGTCCGAGACAGCATTGACAGTTTACTTGAAATTACACAATTACCAACAATAATGAATTCAAAAGTTGATAATACAGTAGATACTTGATCATAGAATATTTCCAATAACATTAACTAAAGTTAGTATTGCTAAAAGTACGATTTTCATGTACAGTATGTGGATCTGGCGGTGTCCTTCCGTGTTTCCGGGACACATGTTCTTTATACAGGGTTCTCCTTATAAACCGGGCGGCAAAAGAAAGTATAGGTCGAGTTCCATGATTGATAACAAAAATGACAAGAAGAGGTTTTGTTTTGAATTATAATATAATCTAGGGAGGGGTAACAAATGATTGATCAACCACAGTTTGAATGAAATTGTGCAATCACAGGTAATGTAAGCTCAAGGTAAACAATGGTGGGGTAAGAACTTTCAGTTTCAAAAGTTGTCTGAAATGTCAGACACACTACAAGTTCATTTGTCGACAAGGTTGCCTTCAATAGCGTGTATGACCTCAAGCTGCCTCAATGCATGCTGTAATACACCGCCTCATCGATGACGTCAGTCTTCTGATGACGTGGACTGGAATCGGTTGCCACTCGTCTCTCAGGGCCTGCTGCAATTCTTGTCTGTCTGTCAAGATGATCCCACAGATGTTCAATAGGATTCATATCGGGTGAGTGGGCAGGCCAGGGCAAAACGTCAACGTTCTGCTGGTTTAGAAAGTTCCGAGTCAGTCTAGCAGTATGGGGCCTGGCATTGTCGTGTTGAAACAATGTCCCCTGCTGTTGGTTTTGTAAGAACGGAAGCTCAACTGGCTGCAACACTTGGTCTCTGTACTGCACAGCGTTCAGGTTTCCCTGTATAATCACCAAATCAGTCTTCTGATCTACACAAATACCGCCCTACACCATGACACCTCCCCCGCCGAATGGATGGACCTCTCGAATACAAGTCGGAGCCTCTGCGTCGATAAACTAGTTCTCAGCCGTCATTTCGAAACAAGTTAAACAGACTTTCATCAGTAAACAGCACTCAACGCCAATTTCTCACTTGCCAGTGTCGAACCTGCTTGCCCATCGCAGTCTCAGGCGTTGAGCAGTCGGTACCATTCCTCGGAAAGGACGATACGCTCGGATTCCAGCAGCACGAAGTCGTCGTAGTACTGTACGTTGGTTAATGGGATGTCCCAACGCTGTTGCTGCCGTCGCCGTCGCCGTCGCCTTCGCCGTTACGAATCTGTTTCTCAGGTGAATGGATCGTATCTGTCCGTCTTCCAGTGGTGTTATCACTCGGGGTCGTCCGGCTCTAGGCATGTCCTGTGTCCTCCCTGTCTGCCTGTACCGTTGAATCAGCCTGGCTACTGTCAATGGTGTACAACCAAACCTTCTGGCAATTTGGACCTGTGTTGCCCCCATTTCGGCCATACCGATGGCTCTCTCTCTCTCTCCCTGCTCCTGTGACAGTCGTGGCATTTCTTTTGTGTGCTTTCATCACGTGTGGTTATACCCTGCTGACGAACGCATTTATACAGCTAACATGCATCTGCAGTTTATGGCATAGGCGGGAAACGAATTTCACCATTTTTTTGTCACCGCACGAGCGCCGTCAAAGGTGGCGCGTTCGGGTGAGGTGTTTTTGGTACCTGTTCCTGGGCAGTCATATTCCCAATACCCACTTTCTACTAGTTATCGCTGTTTTTAGGAAAATTACAAATTGTCAACCTATACTCTCTTTTGCCGCCTAGTTTAGTTTACGTTGGGAGTTTCGTTTAGGAGGACTGAATGGTCACATACAGTGGGGTCGGCAGTTTACATTATGGATTGGTGAGTGCCAAGTCTTCGTGTTTGTAACGTTCCTTACATTCTATGTACCAATACATTAATTTGTTTGAAAATCTGATTCGAAAAAAATCAAAACCATTTCTTACAAATTTAATAATACACATACACTCATGAAATAAACTCAGTTCATTTCGAAACAAGCATATTGCTTTGGTTAAGTGTCGAGAAAGGTTCAGTGTAATGTACTATACCTTCTGCTCGCGTTGTTATGGTGAGCGAGTGACCGTACGATCCTGTTCCCAAGACGTTGGTTACAGAAACAGCAAACACATAGGTTGTGTACGGCAATAGCCCAGTCACTCGGTGGCCCAGCAACATGGAGACTTCGGAAACAGTCGCTGAAGTCGCACTCGCCTGGTTGTATTTCAGATGGCTTCCCGTCACAAACAGATTGCCAGATACCTTAACAGGTTCCCAGGTGACAGTTATCTCCCTTGATGTGACATTGATTGACGTGAGGGAGGGTCCAGGGTCAGGCTCTACAACAGGGTAAAGTCTCACATCAACAACTCACTCACGGTATACATGTACTGTGTATTAAGTTTCACATCAACAACTCACTCACAGTATGCATATACTGTGTATTAAGTTTCACATCAACAACTCACTCACAGTATACATGTACTGTGTATTAAGTTTCACATCAACAACTCACTCACAGTATACATGTACTGTGTATTAAGTTTCACATCAACAACTCACTCACAGTATACATGTACTGTGTATTAAGTCTCACATCAACAACTCACTCACAGTATACATGTACTGTGTATTAAGTTTCACATCAACAACTCACTCACAGTATGCATGTACTGTGTATTAAGTCTCACATCAACAACTCACTGACTCACAGTATGCATGTACTGTGTATTAAGTCTCACATCAACAACTCACTCACAGTATACATGTACTGTGTACTAAGTTTCACATCAACAACTCACTCACAGTATACATGTACTGTGTATTAAGTCTCACATCAACAACTCACTCACAGTATACATGTACTGTGTATTAAGTTTCACATGAACAACTCACTCACAGTATACATGTACTGTGTACCAAGTTTCACATCAACAACTCACTCACAGTATGCATGTACTGTGTATAAAGTTTCACATCAACAACTCACTCACAGTATGCATGTACCGTGTATTAAGTTTCACATCAACAACTCACTCATAGTATACATGTACTGTGTATTAAGTCTCACATCAACAACTCACAGTATGCATGTACTGTTTATTATTACTTGCCCGTGAAGAGATCACCCGTTTAATAAACATACAGCTTTATTACACATTGTGTAATACTAAAACGCGTGCTTATGTACTCTCGGAACACGTTTCACGAACAAATATTGAAAGCTCTCAACATCCCTTGGCGTATTCAACGACATTGTGTGTGGAGATGATAGATCACTGGGAGGAGCTTATGCACACTCGATGACCCCAGCAACCTTGTTGCTAGGCTGACGTCACATGGCATTGTTTCGCCGATGGATCTTGCAACAAAATTCAACAAATTACGTCATCGGGTATTGTGACGTGATTGTAAACTTTGAGGTGCAAGCCCCCGTTCCACAAGGCGATCGTACTCTAGCGCAACGACAGTCGTTAGTCTAAGTTAAATTATGTGAGTTTAGTGATAGCTTTAGCACTACGATAAGTTTGTGGGACGAATGCCTGAATTCTAAAGGTGGACCATTGTATGATATTAAATTCATACGTTTCAACTTTTGACGTGTTTGAAGTATTATTCCTTTTAAACTCAATTGGATTATGCCATGGATCGTGCAGGTGTCAGCCTATTTACACTCAACAGCATAATTCTAAAAACATTATAAATGACAAGTAATAAATAAAATACTAAACTCGCTCTCGTGTAAAACCAATTTTATGAAACTCGTGAATAGTTGTGGTATCTGACTCGCTTTCGCTCGTCAGATACCAAAACTATTCACTCGTTTCATAAAATTGGTATTACACGGGAGCTCGTTTAGTATTCTATATTTAATTCTCACATCAACAACTCACTCACAGTATACATGTACTGTGTATTAAGTCTCACATCAACAACTCACTGACTCACAGTATACATGTACTGTGTATTAAGTTTCACATCAACAACTCACTCATAGTATACATGTACTGTGTATTAAGTTTCACATCAACAACTCACTCACAGTATGCATGTACTGTGTATTAAGTTTCACATCAACAACTCACTCACAGTATGCATGTACTGTGTATTAAGTCTCACATCAACAACTCACTGACTCACAGTATACATGTACTGTGTTTTAAGTTTCACATCAACAACTCACTCACAGTATACATGTTCTGTGTATTAAGTTTCACATCAACAACTCACTCACAGTATACATGTACTGTGTATTAAGTTTCACATCAACAACTCACTCACAGTATGCATGTACTGTGTATTAAGTCTCACATCAACAACTCACTCACTTACAGTATACGCATGTACTGGGTATTCTTGATTACCACAAAGTAATATAAGGATAAATGTAACAAATTGAGGGCATTGTTTTCATATCTTACTCGTAAATGTTTTGGTGCTTGATCCATGTCTGTTTTCTGCTGTGCACGTATATGTGTCTCCCAGGGAGGACGCCGATATGTAGAGCCATTGCCCCTCCACTCTGTGTCCAAGAGTAGACCTGTCAATGACTGTAGACCCTCGTGAGTACGTTAAGTTGGGGATAGGCAGTCCAAACGCCCGGCACACCAATGCAATGGTTGTAGCATTCCGCAGAGATTGGTCAGTGCGTATCACCGGCTCTCCTGTTGTAAGCAACACACATCAGTTACCTTTATTGTAGCTAAAATGGTGAGGATTCACGGACTTGGATCTGTCAACATCGTGACAATTTTGTTAGCCTTTTTAGCTCCAATCTTATAATTATCGTTGTGATTGACAATGCAACTAATATTGACAGTGCAATGATCGATACTAGCACCTGCAAGAAAGATCAGAATGTCAGATTACGGCCTGCACGTTTCATTTGGCCAAAGTGTTAGATATGCCCCCATCTGCTTTCAAACGAGTGTTTAACTATTCAAATAGTTATAGTTTTCTTTCTAAATATAGACACGGGACACCATCGCTTCATATATCATCAGTTGGGGCGCCCGTTCCTCCCCTTCCGGTTACGTGAACAATAATGGCCCTTCGTTAGGCAATATGAGAGCAGTACTGTGTCAGTTGTTATATTATTCTATCCAGTTTAGCAATATTAGCCAATAATAGCATTTATTCGCTTAACAACTGGTAATCTTCATCACATCTTTCGATAAAACTACTCTCTCTACTTTTTGATTACGCGGTTCGCAGCAGCTGTACACCGTCGTGTATACTCAACTCTAGCTCGTCTTGCTTACCTTTCATAATCAACTCTAGCCAATCATGCTTACCTTTCATATTCAAGTCTAGCCAATCATGCTTACCTTTCATAATTAACTACAGCCAATCATGCTTACCTTTAATAATCAACTCCAGCTCGTCATGCTGATCTTTCATAATAAACTCCAGCTCGTCATGCTAACCTTTTATAATCAACTCCAGCCCGTCATGCTTACCTTCTATAATCAACTCTAGCCAATCATGCTTACCTTTCATAATTAACTCCAGCCAATCATGCTTACCTTTAATAATTAACTCCAGCCAATCATGCTTACCTTTAATAATTAACTCCAGCCAATCATGCTTACCTTTAATAATTAACTCCAGCTCGTCATGCTTACCTTTAATAATTAACTTCAGCCAATCATGCTTACCTTTTATAATCAACTCTAGCCAATCATGCCTCCCTTTAATAATTAACTCCAGCTCGTCATGCTTACCTTTCATAATTAACTCCAGCCAATCATGCTTACCTTTTATAATCAACTCTAGCCAATCATGCTTACCTTTCATAATTAACTCCAGCCAATCATGCTTACCTTTAATAATTAACTCCAGCCAATCATGCTTACCTTTAATAATTAACTCCAGCTCGTCATGCTTACCTTTCATAATTAACTCCAGCCAATCATGCTTACCTTTTATAATCAACTCTAGCCAATCATGCTTACCTTTCATAATTAACTCCAGCCAATCATGCTTACCTTTAATAATTAACTCCAGCCAATCATGCTTACCTTTAATAATTAACTCCAGCTCGTCATGCTTACCTTTCATAATTAACTCCAGCCAATCATGCTTACCTTTAATAATTAACTCCAGCCAATCATGCTTACCTTTAATAATTAACTCCAGCTCGTCATGCTTACCTTTCATAATTAACTCCAGCCAATCATGCTTACCTTTTATAATCAACTCTAGCCAATCATGCTTACCTTTCATAATTAACACCAGCCAATCATGCTTACCTTTAATAATTAACTCCAGCCAATCATGCTTACCTTTAATAATTAACTCTAGCTCGTCATGCTTACCTTTCATAATTAACTCCAGCCAATCATGCTTACCTTTTATAATCAACTCTAGCCAATCATGCTTACCTTTAATAATTAACTCCAGCCAATCATGCTTACCTTTAATAATTAACTCCAGCCAATCATGCTTACCTTTAATAATTAACTCCAGCTCGTCATGCTTACCTTTAATAATTAACTTCAGCCAATCATGCTTACCTTTTATAATCAACTCTAGCCAATCATGCCTCCCTTTAATAATTAACTCCAGCTCGTCATGCTTACCTTTCATAATTAACTCCAGCCAATCATGCTTACCTTTTATAATCAACTCTAGCCAATCATGCTTACCTTTCATAATTAACTCCAGCCAATCATGCTTACCTTTAATAATTAACTCCAGCCAATCATGCTTACCTTTAATAATTAACTCCAGCTCGTCATGCTTACCTTTCATAATTAACTCCAGCCAATCATGCTTACCTTTTATAATCAACTCTAGCCAATCATGCTTACCTTTAATAATTAACTCCAGCCAATCATGCTTACCTTTAATAATTAACTCCAGCCAATCATGCTTACCTTTAATAATTAACTCCAGCTCGTCATGCTTACCTTTAATAATTAACTTCAGCCAATCATGCTTACCTTTTATAATCAACTCTAGCCAATCATGCCTCCCTTTAATAATTAACTCCAGCTCGTCATGCTTACCTTTAATAATTAACTCCAGCCAATCATGCTTACCTTTAATAATTAACTCCAGCCAATCATGCTTACCTTTTATAATCAACTCTAGCCAATCATGCTTACCTTTCATAATTAACTCCAGCCAATCATGCTTACCTTTAATAATTAACTCCAGCCAATCATGCTTACCTTTAATAATTAACTCCAGCTCGTCATGCTTACCTTTCATAATTAACTCCAGCCAATCATGCTTACCTTTTATAATCAACTCTAGCCAATCATGCTTACCTTTCATAATTAACTCCAGCCAATCATGCTTACCTTTAATAATTAACTCCAACCAATCATGCTTACCTTTAATAATTAACTCCAGCTCATCATGCTAACCTTTTATAATCAACTCTAGCCCGTCATGCTTACCTTTCATAATCATCTCTAGCCAGTCCTGGTTACCATTCTAAACAACTCTAGCCCGTCATGTTTATTTTTTCTTTTCAAATCTGGCAAGTCATGCTAACCTTTTATAATCAAATCTAGCTAGTCATGCTTACCTTTAATAATACTCTATACAGTCCTGCTTTTCTTGTATAAGTAACTCTAGCCAGTCATGCTTAGCATTTCTAATCAACTCTAAGCCAGTGACGCTTAACTTTTCAAATCAACTCTAGCAAGTCATGCTTAGCTTTTATAATCAACTCTAGCCAGTCATGCTTACCTTTAATAATATTCTATACAGTCATGCTTACCTACAATAATATTCTATACAGTCATGCTTACCTTCAATAATATGCTATACAGTCATGCTTACCTTCAATAATATTCTATACAGTCATGCATACCTTTCATAATCAACTGAAGCCCGTCCTGCTCACCTTTTCTAATCAACTTTAGCCAGTCCTGCCTATCTTTTCTAATCGACTCTAGCCCGTCATGTTCACCTTTAATTATACTCTATACATTCAGGCTTACCTTTAATAATAATCTATACTGTCCTGCTTATCTTGTATAATTAACTCTAGCCCGTCCTGCTGACCTTTTATAATCGACTCTAGTCCGTCCTGCTTACCTTTTCTAATCAACTCTATGAAGACATGCTTACCTTTTCTCATCAACTCTAGCAAGCCATGCTTACCTTGCTTTATCCGCTCTAGCAGGTCATGCTCACCTGCAAGCATCGGTATCCCCCTACCACTCCCCCCTCTCTTATCCTTGCTTATCCTTTCTAATCGACTCTAGCAAGTCATGCGTAACTTTTTTTATCAACTCTAGCCAGTCATGCATAACTTTTATAATCAAATCTTGTCCGTCATGCTTACCTTTTATAATCAACTCTAGCCCGTCATGCTTACCTTTTCCAATCAACTCTATGAAGACATGCTTACCTTTTCTAATGGACTCTAGCCCGTCCTGCTTACCTTTTCTAATCAACTCTAGTCCGTCCTGCTTACCTTTTCTAATCAACTCTATGAAGACATGCTTACCATTTCTAATAGACTCTAGCCCGTCCTGCTTACCTTTTCTAATCAACTCGAGTCCGTCCTGCTTACCTTTTCTAATCAACTCTAGCCCGTCCTGCTTACCTTTTCTAATCAACTCTAGTCCGTCCTGCTTACCTTTTCTAATCAACTCTATGAAGACATGCTTACCATTTCTAATAGACTCTAGCTCGTCCTGCTTACCTTTTCTAATCAACTCTATGAAAACATGCTTACCTTTTCTAATGGACTCTAGTCCGTCCTGCTTACCTTTTCTAATAAACTCTAGCCCGTCCTGCTTACCTTTTCTAATCGACTCTAGCCCGTCCTGCTTACCTTTTCTAATGGACTCTAGTCCGTCCTGCTTACCTTTTCTAATCAACTCTAGCCCGTCCTGCTTACCTTTTCTAATCAACTCTATGAAGACATGCTTACCTTTTCTAATAAACTCTAGCCCGTCCTGCTTACCTTTTCTAATCGACTCTAGCCCGTGCTGCTTACCTTTTCTAATCAACTCTATGAAGACATGCTTACCTTTTCTAATCGACTCTAGCCCGTCCTGCTGACCTTTTCTAATCGACTCTAGCCCGTGCTGCTTACCTTTTCTAATCAACTCTATGAAGACATGCTTACCTTTTCTCATCAACTCTAGCAAGCCATGCTTACCTTGCTTTATCCGCTCTAGCAGGTCATTCTCACCTGCAAGCATCGGTATCCCCCTACCACTCCCCCCTCTCAACACACACGTCCTTCTATACAATTCTTACCTTCTATGAGAAGTTGTACTCCACCCATCGCACATGCCACCACATTGCATGCCTCACACGTCCACCATCCCCCATCTTCCCTTGAATCAACAGATGTAATGGTGAGATCCAAGCCTGCAGGTATGTATTTAACCGTGATCGGGGTGACCTGCGTTCCCGCAGGTGACTTCCACTTTAAGGTTGGTGCAGGGTCACCCGAGACATTACAGCTGAGTTTGACCTGACTCTTTGCGAGAACAGACACTGGACTGTTGGTGGACAGTATTTGAGGCGGAGCTGAAGGTAACAATATCCAAGTTATTGCAGCACACAAATGGACGCCCTTAATAAGAAATTAGCTCGGCGCTTATAATAATGGAAAAGCTTTAAAATATTACACTATTTGAAATTACCTTGTCGCCGTACTATTACCACAATAATATAAAGATGAAACGGATTCAAAAGACACAAATAGCTTTGCTGTTATGTTTCAAACTAATGATCATGTGCATTCATCGGGGGATGTTTATAAACATTTGGTCAGGGGGATTGAGAGGCGATACCCGTGTGCTCCGAACATCATGCAGGAGTCTTTCACTAATTATTGAGAGTAGTAAATCAATGAATAAATCTTCTACATGATAAAATTGTTAGCAAATGCACAGGAACGTTACTACTTACTGTGCACTCGTACGTAGACGGGATCCGCTGTCACGTTACCCTCTTTGTTTACGGCGGAACACGTGTACCACCCTTCGTCAGACTTTCTGATACTCTGTCAAAAGAAATACCCTCTCTTAATATGATACAATTGTAATTAAGAAAAATCTTTGTGGTACATACTTTGTGTAAAACAATATCAAAAGACAGATCCGAAAGTGGTGATTGTTGCCATATATCATTGTCTTAATATAGTGTAAAGTGTGTAACTGGGAACGTTTTCTCTCTTGCCACTTTGGTGAAGTCCTTTGACACGCGACCTATATACATCTGTGTTCTGATACTAAACTATTATCACGAATGCAGATCATTTCGTCTTTAGCGGTCAGTACGGATGGTGTCTGATTGTTTGAAGGAACGCCACCGGTGCCTCGATTAACAACTCACAATAAACTGCAGGTCTCCATTCCTCTTTACTGTCACTCTTGCTGTCTGCTCCTCTTCGGTGTTGCTCCTGATATTGATACTCCCTTGGCCGTCACCTACACTGGTTTTCGCCCATCGCATAGAGAAGGGATTCCCGGATTGTCCCCTACACTGCAACGTTACATTGGTCCCCAGAATAGAGGTGGCGTTCGTGGGTCTGGTGATGAGGTAGGGAAACTCTGCAAGTGTATCCATATATCATAAACACTCAGAGGTGTGTAGTAACAAACATACACGGAGTATGTGACACCATAGTACACGTAATCGGGATATCAGATTCTATTCCACTACCACTACCACTACCACTACCACTACCATTACCACTACCACTTCTCTACTACTACTTCTACTAAAAATATATGCACGTACGGTCAAACACCAATATCAATACTTCAAGTTATGCGAGGTTCGACACAACCGAAAATTACTTTCGAGTAAGGGGTTTTGGAAGGCTTACAACGTTTCACTGTGATTCATTGTAAAGCAGGGCCTAAACCTGAGAAGCTATCACCCACCTGCTCTCCACTGTCGGCCCTGGTCAAATTAACCTGATTTCTGACGTGTGTTTCTTGCACAGTACCACGTGCCACCAATCAAACAGACACGAGTGCACCCTTTACATTGACACTTGGAGCAGACACGGGTCAACTGTACATCTACCTCTAAAACACAACTGTACCCATACATCACATGCACAGGTGTACCGAAACACAACGAACAGACACAGGTGTACCACACACCATGAACAGACACAGGTGTACCGAAACACAACGAACAGAGACAAGTGTACCACACACCACGAAATGACACAGGTATATATATACACACACACACACCATGAACAGACACGGATGTACCGAAAGACCACGAACAGAGACAAGTGTACCACACACCACGAACAGACACAGGTATACACACACACACACACACACACACACACACCATGAACAGACACGGATGTACCGAAAGACCACGAACAGAGACAAGTGTACCACACACCACGAACAGACACAGGTATACACACACACACACACACACACACACACACCATGAACAGACACGGATGTACCGAAAGACCACGAACAGAGACAAGTGTACCACACACCACGAACAGACACAGGTACACACACACACACACACACACACACACACACACACACACACACACACACACACACACACACACACACACACACACACACACACACACACACACCATGAACAGACACGGGTGTACCGAAACACAACGAACAGAGACAAGTGTACCACACACCACGAAATGACACAGGTATATACACACACACACACACCATGAACAGACACGGGTGTACCGAAACACCACGAACAGAGACAAGTGTACCACACACCATGAACAGACACAGGTATATATATACACACACACACACACACACACACACACACCATGAACAGACACAGGTGTACCGAAACACAACGAACAGAGACAAATGTACCACACACCACGAACAGACACAGGTATATATATATACACACACACACACACACACACACACCACGAACAGACACAGGTATACACACACACACACCATGAACAGACACGGGTGTACCGAAACACAACGAAAAGAGACAAGTGTACCCACACATCACGAAACACACACGGGTGTACCGAGACACAACAGACACAGGTATACACACACACACACACCACGAACAGAAACAGGTATACACACACCACGAACATACACATATATACCCACATTTACTTTCGAGTAAGGGGTTTTGGAAGGCTTACAACGTTTCACTGTGATTCATTGTAAAGCAGGGCCTAAACCTGAGAAGCTATCACCCACCTGCTCTCCACTGTCGGCCCTGGTCAAATTAACCTGATTTCTGACGTGTGTTTCTTGCACAGTACCACGTGCCACCAATCAAACAGACACGAGTGCACCCTTTACATTGACACTTGGAGCAGACACGGGTCAACTGTACATCTACCTCTAAAACACAACTGTACCCATACATCACATGCACAGGTGTACCGAAACACAACGAACAGACACAGGTGTACCACACACCATGAACAGACACAGGTGTACCGAAACACAACGAACAGAGACAAGTGTACCACACACCACGAAATGACACAGGTATATATATACACACACACACACCATGAACAGACACGGATGTACCGAAAGACCACGAACAGAGACAAGTGTACCACACACCACGAACAGACACAGGTATACACACACACACACACACACACACACACACACCATGAACAGACACGGATGTACCGAAAGACCACGAACAGAGACAAGTGTACCACACACCACGAACAGACACAGGTACACACACACACACACACACACACACACACACACACACACACACACACACACACACACACACACACACACACACACACACACACACACACACACACACACACACACACACACACACACACACCATGAACAGACACGGGTGTACCGAAACACAACGAACAGAGACAAGTGTACCACACACCACGAAATGACACAGGTATATACACACACACACACACCATGAACAGACACGGGTGTACCGAAACACCACGAACAGAGACAAGTGTACCACACACCATGAACAGACACAGGTATATATATACACACACACACACACACACACACCATGAACAGACACAGGTGTACCGAAACACAACGAACAGAGACAAATGTACCACACACCACGAACAGACACAGGTATATATATATACACACACACACACACACACACACCACGAACAGACACAGGTATACACACACACACACCATGAACAGACACGGGTGTACCGAAACACAACGAAAAGAGACAAGTGTACCCACACATCACGAAACACACACGGGTGTACCGAGACACAACAGACACAGGTATACACACACACACACACCACGAACAGAAACAGGTATACACACACCACGAACATACACATATATACCCACATACCACGAACAGAGACAGGTATACACACACACCACGAACAGAGACAGGTATACACACACACCACGAACAGAGACAGGTAAACACATGCACCAAGAACAGAGACATGTATACACATACACAAAGAACAGAGACAGGTATACACACTCCACGAACAGAGACAGTTGTACACACTCCACGAACAGAGACAGGTATACACACACCACGAACAGATACAGGTATACACACTCCACGAACAGAGACAGGTGTACACACTCCACGAACAGAGACAGGTATACACATACACCACGAACAGATACAGGTTTACACACAACACGAACACATACAGGTATACACACTCCACGAACAGATACAGGTGTACACATTCCACGAACAGATACAGATGTACACATCCACAAAGAACAGAGACAGGTATACACACACCACGAACATACACATATATACCCACATACCACGAACAGAGACAGGTATACACACACACCACGAACAGAGACAGGTATACACACACACCACGAACAGAGACAGGTAAACACATGCACCAAGAACAGAGACATGTATACACATACACAAAGAACAGAGACAGGTATACACACTCCACGAACAGAGACAGTTGTACACACTCCACGAACAGAGACAGGTATACACACACTACGAACAGATACAGGTATACACACTCCACGAACAGAGACAGGTGTACACACTCCACGAACAGAGACAGGTATACACATACACCACGAACAGATACAGGTTTACACACAACACGAACACATACAGGTATACACACTCCACGAACAGATACAGGTGTACACATTCCACGAACAGATACAGATGTACACATCCACAAAGAACAGAGACAGGTATACACACTCCACGAACAGAGACAGGTGTACACACTCCACGAACAGAGACAGGTATACACACTCCACGAACAGAGACAGGTGTACACACTCCACGAACAGAGACAGGTATACACACTCCACGCACAGAAAACGGTGTACACACACCACGAACAGAGACAGGTTTACACACTCCACGAAGAGAGACAGGTGTACAAACTCCACGAAGAGAGACAGGTGTACACACACTCCACGAACAGATACAGGTATACACACACCACGAACAGAGACAGGTATACACACTCCACGAACAGATACAGGTATACACACTCCACGAACAGAGACAGGTGTACACACTCCACGAACAGAGACAGGTGTACACACACTCCACGAACAGAGACAGGTGTACACACTCCACGAACAGAGACAGGTGTACACACTCCATGAACAGAGACAGGTATACACACTCCACGAACAGAGACAAGTATACACACTCCACGAACAGAGACAAGTATACACACTCCACGAACAGAGACAGGTGTACACACTCCACGAACAGAGACAGTTGTACACACACTCCACGAACAGATACAGGTATACACACTCCACGAAGAGAGACAGGTATACACACACTCCACGAACAGATACAGGTATACACACACCACGAACAGAGACAGTTGTAAACACTCCACGAACAGATACAGGTGTACACACTCTACGAACAGAGACAGGTGTACACACTCCACGAACAGAGACAGGTATACACATACACCACGAACAGATACATGTACAGGTATACACACTCCATCAACAGAGACAGGTATACACACTCCACGAACAGAGACAGGTGTACACACACTCCACGAACATAGACAGGTGTACACACTCCACGAACAGAGACAAGTGTAAAGATACTCCATGAACAGAGACAATATACACACACTCCACGAACAGAGACAGGTGTACACACTCCACGAACAGATACAGGTATACACACACCACGAACAGATACAGGTATACACACTCCACGAACAGATACAGGTATACACACTCCACGAACAGAGACAGGTGTACAGACACTCCACGAACAGAGACAGGTATACACTCCACGAACAGAGACAAGTATACACACTCCATGAACAGAGACAGGTATACACATTCCACGAACAGAGACAGGTATACACACTCCATGAACAGAGACAGGTGTACACACACTCCACGAACAGAGACAGGTGTACACACTCCATGAACAGACACAGGTGTACACACACTCCATAAAGAGAGACAGGTATACACACTCCATGAACAGAGACAGGTATACACACTCCACGAACAGAGACAGGTGTACACACACTCCACGAACAGGGACAGGTGTACACACTCCACGAACAGAGACAGGTATACATACTCCACGAACAGACACAGGTGTACACACACTCCACAAACAGAGACAGGTATACACACTCCACGAACAGAGACGGGTATACACATACACCACGAACAGAGACAGGTGTACACACTCCACGAACTGAGACAGGTATACACACTCCACGCACAGAAAACGGTGTACACACTCCACGAACATAGACAGGTGTACACACTCCACGAACAGAGACAGATGTACACATTCCACGAACAGATACAGGTATACACACTCCACGAACAGAGACAGGTATACACACTCCACGAACAGAGACAGGTGTACACACTCCACGAACAGAGACAGGTGTACACACACTCCACGAACAGAGACAGGTATACACACTCCACGAACGGAGACAGGTATACACATACACCACGAACAGATACATGTACAGGTATACACACTCCACGCACAGAAAACGGTGTACACACTCCACGAACAGAGACAGGTATACACACTCCACAAACAGATACATGTTACACACTCCACGAACAGACACAGGTGTACATACTCCACGAACAGATACAGGTTACACACTCCACGAACAGACACAGGTGTACATACTCCACGAACAGATACAGGTTACACACTCCACGAACAGACACAGGTGTACACACTCCACGAACAGAGACAGGTATACAGACTCCACAAACAGATACAGGTGTACACACTCCACGAACAGAGACAGGTGTACACACTCCAGGAACAGAGACAGGTGTACACACACTCCGCGAACAGAGACAGGTATACACGCTCCACGAACAGAGACAGGTATACACATACACCACGAACAGAGACAGGTATACACACTTCACGAACAGATACAGGTGCACCAATAAACCTTGAACTGCCTTGGATTGTCAGAACAGATAGACCTGAGATACGTACCCCCGGGGATTATTGTAAGTGTTGTTGAATTGACTCCACCCATATTTACCGCCACACAAGTGTACTCTCCAAACTGATAGGTCCGTATGTCATCTATCAACAGTGTGTGGTTGGTGAACAATTGCATGTTGTCATCTGAAACACGAACGACAGAGACGGGTCATCAATATGTTTGCACGTTTTCTTCAAGCAGCACACTTCTCTCACAATCAATAAAGAAGTTCATAATAGGACAGTGTATTTCACTATATCTGAGATATATCAAAAATACAAATGTGACATTCATCTACCTGGAAAGTAATCAGAACTACGTAGTTAATTTTTCAATGTAGAAATATATGAATAAAACAATGGATTTGAGGTTGCTTCCATAGGCAGTGGTTGATTGTGTGGTTTGCCCTGTTCAAATTTTAATATGTTTATTTGTATGTCTACAAATGACGCGAATGTGTAGCAGTAATATAAGTATATAAGTAATAGACAATAACTAGCCCTATTACATTAATTCGTTCAATCACGAATGTCAGGTAGTTGCCAATTTGTATGCCTTAAAAAATAGGAAATAATATAGAAACTGAAAAGAAAATGTTGAGTAGGTTTCACTAAATCAAAGGAGTATATGTGATGGTATGCGTGATTTATAGTTTGCGCCAATTGCGTTTCGCCAAAAGCAAAGAATCAAAGTGCCTCTGTCATTGATGATCTATATAAATCACAATAAATGACCGGATGGGTCGATATCTGACAACGACATGCATTTACCTCGTATTAAATAACTTTTATAAATTATTTTTTGAAAGGCCTACTTTCCTCAAGACTGGTTCCCTAGTAGTTATAAAACTACACACAAAACGGGATCTTTTGTCATAATCATAGTGGAACTATTTGACATATATATTCAGTGAAAATATGATTGTAATCATTTATTGAGTTATGAAGTTCAGGAAGGCTTCAGGAAGAATGATTTAGACATGGCTGTTCAACCATGTGTTGATGTGTTTCATGTAAAAAAAATATATGTAAACTGTATGCAATCTTTTTTTATTTCTCTGGGGCGTTTAGTAATGCTTGAAGCAGTAAAGGTGTTTTAGATTACAAATGTACAATATATATCAAAATGTAAACAGTTGCATCAGCACTATAGGTTGTTTTATATTATTATTAATATAATTATCTTGCTAGAATATAATGCTTTCAAGTAGTTAGTCAATGGTGTGTAAAAAAGTTGGCAATTGGCCAGATAGTGATGCATGTAGGTCAGTGTGAAATATCAAAAGCTAAAGCAGTAGTGTTTAGTAAAGGTAAAAGTGAAGTGGTTCAGCAAGCCTGTTCTCCGCCGCCACGGAGCGCCCACAAGGACGATGTAATAAGTGAGCAGTATCCCAGCAAACTAACACCATAAGGATCACGGGGACAGTCGTACAGGGTAAACATTCCACCACGGCTTCCCACGGGGACAGTCGTACAGGGCAAACATTCCACCACGGCTTCCCACGGGGACAGTCGTACAGGGTAAACATTCCACCACGGCTTCCCACGGGGACAGTCGTACAGGGCAAACATTCCACCACGGCTTCCCACGGGGACAGTCGTACAGGGTAAACATTCCACCACGGCTTCCCATGGGGACAGTCGTACAGGGTAAACATTCCATAACGGCTTCCCAATGGGACAGTCGTACAGGGCAAACATTCCACCACGGCTTCCCACGGGGACAGTCGTACAGGGCAAACATTCCACCACGGCTTCCCACGAGGACAGTCGTACAGGGCAAACATTCCACCACGGCTTCCCACGGGGACAGTCGTACAGGGCAAACATTCCACCACGGCTTCCCACGGGGACAGTCGTACAGGGCAAACATTCCACCACGGCTTCCCACGAGGACAGTCGTACAGGGTAAACATTCCACCACGGCTTCCCACGGGGACAGTCGTACAGGGCAAACATTCCACCACGGCTTCCCACGGGGACAGTCGTACAGGGTAAACATTCCACCACGGCTTCCCATGGGGACAGTCGTACAGGGTAAACATTCCATAACGGCTTCCCAATGGGACAGTCGTACAGGGCAAACATTCCACCACGGCTTCCCACGGGGACAGTCGTACAGGGCAAACATTCCACCACGGCTTCCCACGAGGACAGTCGTACAGGGCAAACATTCCACCACGGCTTCCCACGGGGACAGTCGTACAGGGCAAACATTCCACCACGGCTTCCCACGGGGACAGTCGTACAGGGCAAACATTCCACCATGGCTTCCCACGAGGACAGTCGTACAGGGTAAACATTCCTCCACGGCTTCCCACGGGGACAGTCGTACAGGGCAAACATTCCACCACGGCTTCCCACGGGGACAGTCGTACAGGGCAAACATTCCACCACGGCTTCCTACGGGGACAGTCGTACAGGGCAAACATTCCACCACGGCTTCCCACGGGGACAGTCGTACAGGGCAAACATTCCACCACGGCTTCCCACGGGGACAGTCGTACAGGGCAAACTTTCCACCACGGCTTCCCAATGGGACAGTCGTACAGGGCAAACATTCCACCACGGCTTCCCATGGGGACAGTCGTACAGGGCAAACATTCCACCACGGCTTCCCACGGGGACAGTCGTACAGGGCAAACATTCCACCACGGCTTCCCACGGGGAGAGTCGTACAGGGCAAACTTTCCACCACGGCTTCCCACGGGGACAGTCGTACAGGGTAAACATTCCACCACGGCTTCCCACGGGGACAGTCGTACAAGGCAAACATTCCACCACGGCTTCCCTCGGGGACAGTCGTACAGGGTAAACATTCCACCACGGCTTCCCACGGGGACAGTCGTACAGGGTAAACATTCCACTACGGCTTCCCACGGGGACAGTCGTACAGGGTAAACATTCCACCACGGCTTCCCAATGGGACAGTCGTACAGGGCAAACATTCCACCACGGCTTCCCACGGGGACAGTCGTACAAGGCAAACATTCCACCACGGCTTCCCACGGGGACAGTCGTACAGGGTAAGCATTCCACCACGGCTTCCCACGGGTAGTGTCGTACAGGGCAAACTTTCTACCCCGGCTGCCCACGGGGAGAGTCGTGCTGTATGTGGTCTGGCATTATCGTGCTGGAATAATAGAAGTGGAGTTTGGGCTGCAGAATGTCATCTGGGTACCGTTGTGCAGTTAAGTTGCCCTGAACATAAACCAGATTGTTTCTGCCATTGTGCGAGATTGCTGCCTGTACCACCTCTGCCGAATCTGCCGACTGCAAAGTACAGTTGGAGAAAAATGTCCACGTCGACGTCTTTACAATCCTCTATCTTTCATCCACATAACGAAGCAATAGGTGTGGCCCCACATTTCGCAGTAAGTGACATTATTGATGGTGTCGTAACATTGATGGTGGTGACAGCCCGTCAAAATTACCTCGAACCGAGGCCGTCTGCCTCCACGACCCGCCTCACGAAGGCGGTTTCGCTGTCTGGGTTGATATCCCACACAAACCTGGTATGGCGCATGGTGGTCAACAGTGAAGGAAGTCCCATGTTGTCTGTGGGTGTTCCAGAGTCTGGTATGGTGGTCACCAGTGAAGGAAGTCCCATGTTGTCTGTGGGTGTTCCAGAGTCTGGTATATATGGTGTTCACCAGTGAAGGAAGTCCCATGTTGTCTTTGGGTGTTCCAGAGTCTGGTATGATGGTCACCAGTGAAGGAAGTCCCATGTTGTCTGTGGGTGTTTCAGAGTCTGGTATATATGGTGTTCACCAGTGAAGGAAGTCCCATGTTGTCTTTGGGTGTTCCAGAGTCTGGTATGATGGTCACCAGTGAAGGAAGTCCATTGTTGTCTGTGGGTGTTCCAGAGTCTGGTACGTTGGTCACCAGTGAAGGAAGTCCCATGTTGTCTGTGGGTGTTCCAGAGTCTGGTATGATGGTCACCAGTGAAGGAAGTCCCATGTTGTCTGTGGGTGTTCCAGAGTCTGGTATGATGGTCACCAGTGAAGGAAGTCCCATGTTGTCTGTGGGTGTTCCAGAGTCTGGTATATATGGTGTTCACCAGTGAAGGAAGTCCCATGTTGTCTTTGGGTGTTCCAGAGTCTGGTATGATGGTCACCAGTGAAGGAAGTCCCATGTTGTCTGTGGGTGTTCCAGAGTCTGGTATGATGGTCACCAGTGAAGGAAGTCCCATGTTGTCTGTGGGTGTTCCAGAGTCTGGTATATATGGTGTTCACCAGTGAAGGAAGTCCCATGTTGTCTTTGGGTGTTCCAGAGTCTGGTATGATGGTCACCAGTGAAGGAAGTCCCATGTTGTCTGTGGGTGTTCAAGAGTCTGGTATGATGGTCACCAGTGAAGGAAGTCCCATGTTGTCTGTGGGTGTTCCAGAGTCTGGTATATATGGTGTTCACCAGTGAAGGAAGTCCCATGTTGTCTTTGGGTGTTCCAGAGTCTGGTATGATGGTCACCAGTGAAGGAAGTCCCATGTTGTCTGTGGGTGTTCCAGAGTCTGGTATGATGGTCACCAGTGAAGGAAGTCCCATGTTGTCTGTGGGTGTTCCAGAGTCTGGTATGATGGTCACCAGTGAAGGAAGTCCCATGTTGTCTGTGGGTGTTCCAGAGTCTGGTACGGTGGTCACCAGTGAAGGAAACCCCATGTTGTCTGTGGGTGTTCCAGAGTCTGGTATGATGGTCACCAGTGAAGGAAGTCCCATGTTGTCTGTGGGTGTTCCAGAGTCTGGTATATATGGTGGTCACCAGTGAAGGAAGCCCCATGTTGTCTGTGGGTGTTCCAGAGTCTGGTACGGTGGTCACCAGTGAAGGAAGTTCCATGTTGTCTGTGGGTGTTCCAGAGTCTGGTACGGTGGTCACCAGTGAAGGAAACCCCATGTTGTCTGTGGGTGTTCCAGAGTCTAGTACGGTGGTCACCAGTGAAGGAAGTCCCATGTTGTCTGTGGGTGTTCCAGAGTCTGGTACGGTGGTCACCAGTGAAGGAAACCCCATGTTGTCTGTGGGTGTTCCAGAGTCTGGTACGGTGGTCACCAGTGAAGGAAGTCCCATGTTGTCTGTGGGTGTTCCAGAGTCTGGTGCGGTGGTCACCAGTGAAGGAAGTCCCATGTTGTCTGTGGGTGTTCCAGAGTCTGGTACGGTGGTCACCAGTGAAGGAAGTCCCATGTTGTCTGTGGGTGTTCCAGAGTCTAGTACGGTGGTCACCAGTGAAGGAAATCCCATGTTGTCTGTGGGTGTTCCAGAGTCTGGTGCTTGGGGATACATGAAACACCCTGACCGGTCTGGAGTCACCCGTTTCCGACTGATGTTTTTTTTTTCCAGTCGCGACATGACTGATGTTTTGCCATAGCCCAGGTTTCATGTGCAGAGTGTTGAAAATTACTTACAAGACTTAGTTTATATATCTTAATTATTGATTCTTTTACTCACAGCATTCACATTCGAATTAAGAAGTGATCGTACCTATAATCACAGCACTGCCATTCCGTTCCCACTTCTGTGTAGGGACTGGGTCCCCCATGGCTCGGCAGTCCAGTTTAGCATCGCCACCTAAACCTACCGTCAGATTGGACGATGGTAGCTCGAAATATGGAAATTCTGGAAATATATATAAATACAATTGTTCGTACATGAATAATAATAACAATAGCAACAGCAACAACAGTCTACAATACGGCCTCTACATATTGACCATAAAGAAATCTAATCGTACAGCGTCATTCATAATTTGGTATTACATTCATCGCCAGGCAACCATAACGGAATTAGTCCCGAATTTACTGTTACTGTTTCCTTGTATGACCAGTTCACGGTGGCCCTGATTAATAACTGAATGCAAAAGTGTACTTAATGACAACAAAATACTATATACCATGAATGTAAGCTGGCGTTTGTATTACTATCAACAAAACTGCTTTAAACATGTCCCTGCCAGATAAAGACTAACTTATGATATTTAGAGTTGCTGGAGCATCTATCTGTCCTGCTGTATTCTTTGCGAAACATCTGTAGATACCCGCGTCCTCCTTCCCTGCCCTTCGTACCGTCAAGGTTCCACTTGCCGCCACCTAGCGCAGGCAAACGCAACATTGCACACACAGCATGAACACAGTCAGGTTTGATATTAATGTCATATTTGGCTCAGATTTGGGCTGATATACGTCACTGTTAGACAGAGTCAGACGTCAGTACCTGATATTCACTTGCACACAGACTCACGTCTGCACCCGATGTTCAGCTGCGTCTGTACTGGATGTTTGTCAGTGGTACATAGTGAAAGAGTGAACATTGCTTAACGCCGCATCAGCAACATTGCCGTTATTCCCAGTGAGAAATGCCATAGTGTAATCATATATTAACCAACGCAATAAATGTGATGTTAAAATGACGAAACTCTCAGTCGTATATCACATTCAAAGGTAAAAACAACAACTGATCAGATAGATTATATATTTTGTCATAAAGTTTCATTTCTTTTAAATAGTCTAAAATCAAGTGGTTAGAAAAAGGTGTCTAATAAGTGCAAAATCAACACATTCAAGCAAAATGTGCTAGGTGGTAATTGGACTATGGCAAGGGAAACAAGAAGGTGGATATTCATATATCCCATAACAATGAATGTGTATAATAACTGTGGCCAATGCGGCACCGCTGTAAAACAACTTCATCATTGCGACATTGACCAGAATGTGGTCGACCTCAATTCAGTGGTTCTTGGTATTCCCACCTTTTTGCAAGTGATCATTCACATATTGTATGATGGAAGTTTGTTGTTAAAGTTGACTTATTGAGAGCGGCTTTTGCCGCAGCATCTGCCGTACAGTTGCCACTGACGCAACATGACTAGGCAGCCAACAAAACATGATATCTTTTTTAGCTAATGATAAATTGAGATGACACCTTGAAATTTCACCTAAGAGTTGATGATCCAGTTTTCGATTTTTTATTGCCTGTGAACAGGATAAACTATCAGCCAACAAAACATGATATCGTTTTTAGCTAATGATAAATTGAGATGACACCTTAAAATTTCACCTAAGAGTGGATGATCCAGTTTTCGATGTTTTATTGCCTGTAAACAGGATAATAAACTATCAGTAATTATGCTAAATCTGCTTTTAGAAGATTTTTCAATTTATTGCAAAGCTTATAGTATGGCCTAAGTTTCGGCAATACCAGGAAGGTTAAAATGTTCATTTTCGATATGGGACTGCATACGAATGCAAAGTATGGCAAGAGAGTTCGGTTTCCTGTTAACAAATTCAGTATGGATGAGAGAATACGTTGTCACTGGTTCACAGATATGTGTCAGTGGTACAGAGAAAGACGTTTGCGCTGGATATTTGTCAGGGGTCCACAGAGAGATGTTTGTACTGGACATCTGTCAGTGGTACACAAGCAGACGTCTGAACTGGATATTTGTCAGTACTATGCATGAAGACGTCTGCCAGATATGTGTCAATGGTACACAGAGACGTGTATGCTGGATACTTGTCAATGGTATAAAGAGAGACGTCAGCCTGATCTTTGCCAGTGGTACACAGAGACATGTATGCTGGATATTTGTCAGTGGTTCATAGAGATTCGTTTGTACAGGATATTTGTTAGTGGTTCACAGAGAGATGTCTGTACTGGATTTATAGAGAATACTACACTCATTCTCGTTAGATGCCATTTTTACGACACGAGTGGACTTTCTTAAAAATGGTATCTAACGAGAACGAGTGTGGTATTTTATTAACTACCCACGTTAAATATATATTTAAGTGTAAATACATAACAACTTTCGTTAGTTGACAGACCAAACTCAAACCCGTTGCAAAATCTGGATGCGCATGAATATTGATATATGCCCAAATATGGGCATTGTTGACATTTATATGCATCCGCATTAACAACAAGCGCCTGCAGTTGTGTTTGCAAACAAAACAGCATCGACGCTCAAGATCCTTTTGGAAGAAATTCTTCAACTTATGGTAATTCAAGCGCCATGTTGTAAGTACGAAGGACACCTATAAGAAAACTTGAAAAGTCACATTAGCGCCGCGCTTTGAATATCGGACTAACCGTCGGTCACTCGCACTGCCGGTGTCCCGTCTGTGCAATCAAAATGGTTCGGTTTCCTTGATCTATCAGCCAAATTTATATCATGTTTGTACCATTTTGGAAGAGGGAAATCAGAGTGTTCGCCAAAGACATTCATGTTAGCCTAAATGTACTATCCTATACTGAAGACGTGAAAATCAACAAACTCAAGTCTGCTTGCATGTCAGTGACAGCTTCGAACGATCGAAGGGCAAGGTCACCACCGGAATAAGAAGAGACAACCGTGTTTTACGCTAGAGATAGGGAATGTTATTGTTCACATTTGGGATGTTTGGGGCCACAAAATCAGAAGTCAGGCACACTTCCACGGAGTTTTCGAATGATTTGTATCAGAACAGTTCGGTTTTAGTGATCTGGTCGTGCACTTGTGTACGTTCATTCATGAACAACACCTCCCGAAACAGCGCCACAAAATACACTTCGAAGGGGACACTGATGGCACAACCGGATCATCATAAGTAAGCCTAGATATCTGTCCAGATAGTTTAAACAGACTTCATTTCACCACGCTTATCCTTTAACGTTAATCAAATTAAAAGTTGCGACAGTGGTCGGGTGCGTCACGCTCATGGGGACCCTCGCTCTATTGATCGGTAGTCGTACATTGTAAATGGATATAGCTCGATTATATAATATCTGTAGAAGCTCAATGCATAACGTTTATATAATGCAAAACAATAGTGTCAGCGTTGTGATAGGGAAAGGCACTGTACTTGATAGTGTCAGCGCTGTGTAAGGGAAAGGGTCTGTACTTGATAGTGTCAGCGTTGTGATAGGGAAAGGGTCTGTACTTGATAGTGTCAGCGTTGTGATAGGGAAAGGCACTGTACTTGATAGTGTCAGCGTTGTGATAGGGAAAGGGTCTGTACTTGATAGTGTCAGCGTTGTGATAGGGAAAGGCACTGTACTTGATAGTGTCAGCGTTGTGATAGGGAAAGGCACTGTACTTGATAGTGTCAGCGTTGTGATAGGGAAAGGCACTGTACTTGATAGTGTCAGCGTTGTTACAGGGAAAGGGTCTGTACTTGATAGTGTCAGCGTTGTGATAGGGAAAGGGTCTGTACTTGATAGTGTCAGCGTTGTGATAGGGAAAGGCACTGTACTTGATAGTGTCAGCGTTGTGATAGGGAAAGGCACTGTACTTGATAGTGTCAGCGTTGTGATAGGGAAAGGCACTGTACTTGATAGTGTCAGCGTTGTTACAGGGAAAGGGTCTGTACTTGATAGTGTCAGCGTTGTTACAGGGAAAGGGTCTGTACTTGATAGTGTCAGCGTTGTGATAGGGAAAGGGTCTGTACTTGATAGTGTCAGCGTTGTGATAGGGAAAGGGTCTGTACTTGATAGTGTCAGCGTTGTTACAGGGAAAGGGTCTGTACTTGATAGTGTCAGCGTTGTTACAGGGAAAGGGTCTGTACTTGATAGTGTCAGCGTTGTGATAGGGAAAGGGTCTGTACTTGAGAGTGTCAGCGTTGTGATAGGGAAAGGGTCTGTACTTGATAGTGTCAGCGTTGTGATAGGGAAAGGCACTGTACTTGATAGTGTCAGCGTTGTGATAGGGAAAGGCACTGTACTTGATAGTGTCAGCGTTGTGATAGGGAAAGGGTCTGTACTTGATAGTGTCAGCGTTGTGATAGGGAAAGGCACTGTACTTGATAGTGTCAGCGTTGTGATAGGGAAAGGCACTGTACTTGATAGTGTCAGCGTTGTTACAGGGAAAGGGTCTGTACTTGATAGTGTCAGCGTTGTGATAGGGAAAGGGTCTGTACTTGATAGTGTCAGCGTTGTGATAGGGAAAGGGTCTGTACTTGATAGTGTCAGCGTTGTGATAGGGAAAGGCACTGTACTTGATAGTGTCAGCGTTGTGATAGGGAAGGGCACTGTACTTGATAGTGTCAGCGTTGTGATAGGGAAAGGCACTGTACTTGATAGTGTCAGCGTTGTGATAGGGAAAGGGTCTGTACTTGATAGTGTCAGCGTTGTGATAGGGAAAGGGTCTGTACTTAATAGTGTCAGCGTTGTGATAGGGAAAGGCACTGTACTTGATAGTGTCAGCGTTGTGATAGGGAAAGGGTCTGTACTTGATAGTGTCAGCGTTGTGATAGGGAAAGGGTCTGTACTTGATAGTGTCAGCGTTGTGACAGGGAAAGGGTATGTACTTGATAGTGTCAGCGTTGTGATAGGGAAAGGGTCTGTACTTGATAGTGTCAGCGTTGTGATAGGGAAAGGGTCTGTACTTGATAGTGTCAGCGTTGTGATAGGGAAAGGGTCTGTACTTGATAGTGTCAGCGTTGTGATAGGCAATGGCACTGTACTTGATAGTGTCAGCGTTGTGATAGGGAAAGGGTCTGTACTTGATAGTGTCAGCGTTGTGATAGGGAAAGGGTCTGTATTGATAGTGTCAGCGTTGTGATAGGGAAAGGGTCTGTACTTGATAGTGTCAGCGTTGTGATAGGGAAAGGGTCTGTACTTGATAGTGTCAGCGTTGTGTAAGGGAAAGGGTCTGTACTTGATAGTGTCAGCGTTGTGATAGGGAAAGGGTCTGTACTTGATAGTGTCAGCGTTGTGATAGGGAAAGGGTCTGTACTTGATAGTGTCAGCGTTTTGATAGGGAAAGGGTCTGTACTTAATAGTGTCAGCGTTGTGATAGGGAAAGGGTCTGTACTTGATAGTGTCAGCGTTGTGATAGGGAAAGGGTCTGTACTTGATAGTGTCAGCGTTGTGATAGGGAAAGGGTCTGTACTTGATAGTGTCAGCGTTCTGATAGGGAAAGGCACTGTACTTGATAGTGTCAGCGATGTTACAGGGAAAGGGTCTGTACTTGATAGTGTGGCCGTTGTTTGAGGGAAGAGGTCTGTAGCTGTGAGTGTCAGCGTCGTTACAGGGATAGGCACTGTACTTGATAGTGTCAGCGTTGTTACAGGGAAAGGGTCTGTACTTGATAGTGTCAGCGTTGTTACAGGGAAAGGGTCTGTACTTGATAGTGTCAGCGTTGTTACAGGGAAGGGTCTGTATTTGATAGTGTCAGCGTTGTTACAGGGAAAGGGTCTGGACCTGAAAGTGTCAGCGTTGTTACAGGGATAGGGACTGTACTTAATAGTGTGGCCGTTGTTTGGGGGAAAAGGTCTGTAGCTGTAAGTGTCAGCGTCTTTACAGGGAAAGGGTCTGGACCCGATAGTGTCAGCGTTGTTACACGGAAAGGCATTGTACTTGATAGTGTCAGCGTTGTTAGAGGGAAGGGCACTGTACTTGATAGTGTCAGCGTTGTGATAGGGAAGGGGTCTGTACTTGATAGTGTCAGCGTTGTTAGAGGGAAGGGCACTGTACTTGATAGTGTCAGCGTTGTGATAGGGAAGGGGTCTGTACTCGATAGTGTCAGCGTTGTTACAGGGAAAAGCACTGTACTTGATAGTGTCAGCGTTGTTAGAGGGAGAGGCACTGTATTTGATAATGTCAGCGTTGTTAGAGGGAAAGGCACTGTACTTTATAGTGTCAGCATTGTTATAGGGACAGGAACTGCACTTGATAGTGTCAGCGTTGTTACAGGGAAAAGCACTGTACTTGATAGTGTCAGCGTTGTTACAAGGAAAGGCACTGTACTTGATAGTGTCAGCGTTGTGATAGGGAAGGGGTCTGTACTTGATAGTGTCAGCGTTGTGATAGGGAAAGGGTCTGTACTTGATAATGTCAGCGTTGTTAGAGGGAAAGGCACTGTACTTGATAGTGTCAGCATTGTTATAGGGACAGGAACTGCACTTGATAGTGTCAGCGTTGTTACAGGGAAAAGCACTGTACTTGATAGTGTCAGCGTTGTTACAGGGAAAGGCACTGTACTTGATAGTGTCAGCGTTGTGATAGGGAAGGGGTCTGTACTTGATAGTGTCAGCGTTGTGATAGGGAAAGGGTCTGTACTTGATAGTGTCAGCGTTGTGATAGGGAAGGGGTCTGTACTTGATAGTGTCAGCGTTCTGATAGGGAAAGGGTCTGTACTTGATAGTGTCAGCGTTGTTACAGGGAAGGGTCTGTATTTGATAGTGTCAGCGTTGTTACAGGGAAAGGATCTGGACCTGAAAGTGTCAGCGTTGTTACAGGGATAGGGACTGTACTTAATAGTGTGGCCGTTGTTTGGGGGAAAAGGTCTGTAGCTGTAAGTGTCAGCGTCTTTACAGGGAAAGGGTCTGGACCCGATAGTGTCAGCGTTGTTACAGGGAAAGGCATTGTACTTGATAGTGTCAGCGTTGTTAGAGGGAAGGGCACTGTACTTGATAGTGTCAGCGTTGTGATAGGGAAGGGGTCTGTACTTGATAGTGTCAGCGTTGTTAGAGGGAAGGGCACTGTACTTGATAGTGTCAGCGTTGTGATAGGGAAGGGGTCTGTACTCGATAGTGTCAGCGTTGTGATAGGGAAGGGGTCTGTACTTGATAGTGTCAGCGTTGTGATAGGGAAAGGGTCTGTACTTGATAATGTCAGCGTTGTTAGAGGGAAAGGCACTGTACTTGATAGTGTCAGCATTGTTATAGGGACAGGAACTGCACATGATAGTGTCAGCGTTGTTACAGGGAAAAGCACTGTACTTGATAGTGTCAGCGTTGTTACAGGGAAAGGCACTGTACTTGATAGTGTCAGCGTTGTGATAGGGAAGGGGTCTGTACTTGATAGTGTCAGCGTTGTGATAGGGAAAGGGTCTGTACTTGATAGTGTCAGCGTTGTGATAGGGAAGGGGTCTGTACTTGATAGTGTCAGCGTTCTGATAGGGAAAGGCACTGTACTTGATAGTGTCAGCGTTGTTACAGAGAAAGGGTCTGTACTTGATAGTGTCAACGTTGTGATAGAGAAAGGCACTGTACTTGATAGTGTCAGCGTCGTTACAGGGAAAGGCACTGTACTTGATAGTGTCAGCGTTGTGATAGGGAAAGGCACTGTACTTGATAGTGTCAGCGTCGTTACAGGGAAAGGCACTGTACTTGATAGTGTCAGCGTTGTGATAGGGAAAGGGTCTGTACTTGATAGTGTCAGCGTCGTTACAGGGAAAGGCACTGTACTTGATAGTGTCAGCGTCGTTACAGGGAAAGGCACTGTACTTGATAGTGTCAGCGTTGTGATAGGGAAAGGCACTGTACTTGATAGTGTCAGCGTTGTGATAGGGAAAGGCACTGTACTTGATAGTGTCATCGTTGTGTAAGGGGAGGGTCTGTACTTGATAGTGTCCAGCGATGTTACAGGGAAGGGGTCTGTACTTGATAGTGTCAGCGTTGTGATAGGGAAAGGCACTGTACCTGATATTGTCAGCGTTATTTCTGTTCTTGATAGTGTCAGCGTTGTAACAGAGAAAGGCACTGTACCCTTCGCGTAAAGTGTATTGTACTTATATAGCGACGTGCATGCACGTGTGTGTGTGTGTGGCTGTTTGTCTTAGTTCGGACTAATGCCGATATTATAGTGCTAGCCCACGGAGATAACATGCCGCAGTTTAACATCAATATCATACTCAGATACAGTATACTGACTGAACCGAGCAGTCCGCGGTTAAGCCGTCATTCCGAAGATGTTTAATGCCGAGCGCCAGGCAGGGTTACAACAAGTACAATCTTTTAATGCCTTTTGGTATGAGGCGGCGATCGAGTCCCCGACCTTCAAACTCTCTACCACTAGACCACGGAGCCGGTCTTACCTGATAGTGCCAGGGTAGTTAGATGGAAAGGGTGTGTACCTGAGGGAAAGGATCCGTACCTCATATTTGTCACCAGTACGTAACAGTTGACCACCTTTGGTCCACAAGATACTTGGAGATGGATAACCAGACGCCTTGCATGTGAATTCGACCGTCTCCCCAGCACTGACCAACTGGCCAGCTGGTGTTGATGTAAAGATCGGGGGTCCTGGGGACACAAACAGATGCGCAGATTTACCATCATTACAAATCAGAAAGAAAGTATTCCTTTTGAAGAATGTCAATGAAGTGAATTGAGAGTACCTATAAAAAAAACTGCCGCTATTTAATGGATAAACTGTCAATGAAATAAATATATATTGATATATATTCATAAACCAATCATCATATATAAAGCAGAAATATACATGCAATGTGTTCGCAACGATACCACTTGCTTAAACAGAATTTCCAATTAAGGACCTGGTGAAGAAGTAAGCATATACTCAGAAACATTGCGTTCCTCATAAAGAAGCTGACATTCATATATTGTCTCTCTTATTTGTATCACTTCTAAATGAGTGAGTGAATGAGTTGGGTTTAACGCCGCTTTTAACAGTATTTCAGTCATATCACGGCGTGTCAGCTTAATGTGGGAGGAAAGCCCGAAAAGATCCAGGTCTCAGACGTTTACCACTTCTGTGAAACCCACGAGCACGGGTATGGTGCTGACAAACCTAGAAACATAATCGGGGCGAACCGGGATTCGAACCCACAATCATAGGTTTCTGGCGTGCCTAAGGGACGCAACTCTGCACAGCGATTCGCGGCACCTTAGACGACTTGGCCACCCATGCCCTCTACTTCTAAATGTCATTCAAATACTTGAGCATTTGCAATTGTTTTTTCTTTTGAAAAAAAGTAGTGGATAGTCGGAAATAACTTAAACTGTCAAACATTTTATAGATATTAGTTTCTAGTAATAGCTGTGTGATAATAGTGAACGAATCGCATAGTGCATTTCTACCTCATCGTTTGCCACCATCCTAAACCTATCCCAAACCCTCGCATTTCACGTGCAGTCAAAGCAACACGATGGTGCGCCACGCCATCCAATAAATAAACAGATGGTGCGTTTTGGCACACAGTTCCATAAAGTAAAACCAAGACATGTCTGCAAAACAAATAGTATGATGTAGTAAGTGAGGGTATGTGCCCCTAGAAATATTGGAAGATATCTAAATCTTGAATTGTAGTAAGCATGGCACTTCAGGAAAAAAATATATTCAGTTTTGGTTACTTATAAGTCACATAGCTGATCGTTCTTCCGAAGAAACCGTTCCCATCGTCCTGTATGGAAGGAAGTTCAGATGCTCTTTATAGGAATAACATTCGTCGTGAGTTTCTGGCTGTTACAACATTCAAGTGATATTCTGTGCTAAGGTAAAAGGTTGAAATCCTTAGGTTTTTAAGTGGTTAATTTCTTGGATTCTCTATAATTCATCATACTGTTCTTGATGACCGTCTTTGATTCTTTGTGTCACAACGTTGTGAAATATACAGAGAAGAGACAACTGCATCACTCTCTCGGTTTCCCTTGTCCAACAGTTCTAGAGAGTAAAGATGTTACCTTTCACACTGAGAACAGCTGATGTTGTGATGGCTGCGATCCTGTTTGATGCCACACACGTGTAAGTGCCATGGTGGGAGGGGCTGGCTTTTTCAATTTGTAGACTACCCTCATCAGTTACTTTCATTCCACCAACACTGCCACTGGAGACACTCACGTTACCTAGGTGAACAAAGGATATCATACCTGGTGTGCTACGAGTACACTCAGTAACAACAAGGGAACACGCATTAGTGCTGTCACCAAACATATGATGAAACAGTTATACCAAATTGCAGACAAATTAAACATACTCCGTGAAATTGTCAGAAATGTCATCATCTAGCTCTACTGTCAACGTGAGATCTAATCCTATGGATTGGAAAATACGTTTTTGTCATGCTGGAATAGATCATCCAAATTATGTACCGATTTGGTTGTCTGCCGCCTCTGCCACAATAAAACTCAGAAATTGTGATGAATTGCATTAAAGTCTCAATATGAAGAATTGCATTGACAACCCTGACATCTGTGTTGATTTTGGAAGCAGACATAAACCTGTCTCTCAAAGATGATGTCCTCTGTTGTCCTCCTCTTACTACCGCGACTGGTATCAACCTTAACACTTGGTGTACGCCTGTGTTTGGCAATCAAGCGTGAAATTACATTGACTTCTAAAAAGTAATTTGCAACTTTCTCGGCAATTAGAAGCAACAGCGGTACGAGTAGGACTACTTTTCTTCTATCACACGTTCGTATTCCACGTTTTCCAAACACTACATACTACATCTACGAATATAACCATTGCCGATATGTATAGGTAGATATTATTGGCAGGTTACCTGCTGCAGGTGTGTCCCAGGTGTACACAGGCGGAGGGTTTGCAGTAGCCGCACAAGCTAACACTACAGCTGATCCCAGCTCAACCTCTTGGCTGACAGGGCCTTCATCCAAGTCAGGACCATCTGTACACCAATAAAACAGGTACAGGCCCAACACAGACACGACACAAACAAGGACTGTGTAACTGATGATTTGCTAGCAGTTTTCAAATGGAATGAGGGCAATCGGTTAATAGTTTGTAAATAACTAATCAAATTCCAACTGCATGTCAACTTAACACGATGCACACACTATCCCAAACATTACTTTGAAAAAGTGATGATATCAGGTGTTCGCGAAAAAGTGAGGACGATCCCTGCCACACCGAAGACACCCGACACAAACACATGGGAATACAAGTCAAGTATTGACCCAAACAAACATGTAAATATACGGAACAAGTCAAATTCGGAAATTGCAGGGACATGTAAAACTGTTAAATACCGGACGCTGTAATTCGGACGTGCCTGTTTAATCGGTGTCTGCATTTGGTGAACAGAGTTTTTTTGTTTTTGCAATCTATTATATTCCTGAAACTGTTATAAGCCGCTCATGTCTAGCCGAGGTCAGTACGTGACGGGATTTGGGGACTGGGAGACGACCATGTATAGTGTATAGAAACATGAATATACTAACACTGTACAGAAAGTGTAAGGTTTTTCTGTGTTCGACCAAGATCGTTGATAGACACGCAAATGTATACCCCGTCGTCCTCCCTCTTGACAGCAGGCAAAGCCAGCTCCCCACCTGTCACCGCCACGTTGGAGGAGAGCGAGCCGTTAGCCTGCAAATATAAATACCAATATGTATACAAGCCGTGTGTGTCAGTCGTTCAAGGGTCTTTGGTAGGCAATATACTGACTGACTGATTGAGTATGGTTTTACGCCGCTTTTAGCAATATTCCAGCAATATCACGGCGGGGGACACCAGAAATGGGATTCACACATTGTACCCATGTCGGGAATCGAACCCGGGTCTTCGGCGTGACGAGAGAACGCTTTAACCACTAGGCTACCCGACCGCCCCGGTAGACAATACAATTCCAATCAATCAGGATATGTTTCAATCGAAAATAACAGCATTGGCTTTTCAATTCACATGTCTGACTATGAAATTCAACACGCAACGGCCTCATACCATCGGCCTTCTTTGAAATACCAAGTGTATACTACTGCCATTTGTTCCCATCATCATCCCATTCCCATGTCCTTAAACGTGGCGGTTGGGTCGGCTAGTGGTTAAAGCGTTCACCGTCATTCCGAAGATTCACGAAGGGTTCGATTCCCCACATTGGTACATAGTGGAGCGGCTGAGCAGAGCAAATGTGCATTTAATGATAACAGCCTGAAACATTCATTTGGAGGCACTCAACATAATTTCATTTTGCGCATGTGCAGTTGATAAATAAAATGTGGTCTTGTCTGGCTAGTTTTAACTTTCCAACTACCAACCATGCACAAAAGTAACAATTTCACCAAAAGATTACTGACCCACATACTGGTTAAATGTCTTGAATATACAGTTATAACAGATAATTCTATGAACATTGGTCCTGTGCATTTAAGTTACCCCCTTTCTGCAGCCAAAAGAGACCAACTCTTGACGAGATTTTGATTCTTGGTTTAGTGCAGACCAGTACGGAACATACTGTCAACATTCCTTCTGTAGCCAGCCCAAGTGAGTAGGAGATCAAATTTCAGGTTATGGAATAAGTGACTGACCCCACGTGTACAACATGTGCATTCGTTGGTGGGATGGAATGAATTGAGGTCTTTCTGGCTTGATCAGTATTCACGTAACGGCTTGTCCTGTCATACATCAATATGATGAACTTCTCATTGATGTTCATAACATCATCTGTGATGCTTCCAGGAGCACACAACAGAGCGACTAGAGCCTGCGTGGCCTCTGGAAAGACTTGCCGTGTAGTCCAGGCCATCTTCGTATCATGTCTTGCAAAGGCTGCGACACTATAGCATCCTGTCAGAGCATGAAACATCGGAAGAGCACGTGATTTCTCGGGTCAAAGACTTGCTTTGATTTCATAAGGTTTCACAGTTCCGAGTGAATTAGCAAGAAGATCTTAGTAACTATAACTGCAAGTACTACAACATCTGTATCCACTGTTCGTATCCTTATCTTGTTATGACCATGTTCTGCAGCAAGAGCCACGTGAAGTATAATGTGACTATCGACTTTTTCGTGGTTGCAAGAGACAAGTGAAGACAGATCATATTGCTGAGGAACACTCAATACCTGTTCTCCTTCTGTGACATCAGCTTCCTTGTCCTGCTCCTGGACAGACTTCTTAAAACCCTTTGAAAAAAATTCGGACAAGCTCCTCTTTGTTCCTACATTCATGTGAAATACTCTTTCCTGGTATAGTCGCAGTGTCAATAACAAGTCTACGAACACCATCACAAGTAAAGTCATCAAATGTTTTGACGGTTATGCCAGAATGCACAGCTCCAGTTTCAAGGCAATGTCCCTGTACTGAAACAATGAAGAGGCATATCTTCGCTTTTTTCAAGCATTAAAATCCAACTTTACACACCCTTCTAGATTAGTTCAGGTAACATATTCATATTCATATGCATAAAGCTGTAATGAAGCTGCTTTGATTTGATGAGCTCGCCTTGTGTGAGCAACAGGTGATGCCTTGATAAAAGATTCTGCTGCCTCAGCTGTGGAAATCTCTTCTTTTATCTTTACATCGGCTGCAGTGAGCATGATATGCAGCCCAAGATAGGTTCATGTGTTGGATTTCATCTGTAGTCTTGATCAACCTTCTTGTGTATTCCAGCGTTTTGCATCTCCCCTGACGTGTGATTGTGACATTTGCTCCTGTTCAGGCGTGTTAATATCCTCTTTGGATTGTTCGATCCTTTGATGTCTGCAGAAACTGAAGGGGTATTTTAAGAGTAGTGTGGCATATGTCCAACAGCCTTTGAACTGAAATGCCAGTTCATAGTGTTTTTTGTACGATTATAACCTGCACTACAGTGCTGAAACAGCGGTATGCCAGTTCCATGAAATGAATTTGGGGTGGTTGACGAGCTTGAGTCATGATCAACGTTGTCAACAGCAGCAGTTGTGAAGACTTGGCTTGCATTACCAGAGGGTATTCTACATTTTCTTTCTCAAAGTGTTCACACTTGTTGCCTAAATCTGTTGAGATACGGAGTACTCCGTCCTAAAAAAATGTTGATGCCAAACTTCATGAAAAATCTAGCCCGAGTCTGAGCATGAAGCATCAATCCAATGTTAATAGAGACTGGGGTTTCCTCATCTGGGTTGTGTCTAAGAGAAGTTGCAGTCTGACCCTGTTGTATTTAAGAAGCTGAGATTTTGTGTGTGTTGCCTGAGATGACGATCCATGACTTTGGTCTTTTATTATTGCACCGTCCAGTATCATTCTTAACAATGCAAGCAATAAACTTGGGACAGAGTCTTTTTTGACTGCTTCTTTGGAATGACCCATCAAGCGATATGACATCAATGAACAACTTTTTAATACTATCCGTGCAGCTCGTGCCAGCATCAGTGTCACAAGCTTCTCCCAAAGCATTAACAATATCTCTGTCAAAGGAGAACATCTCGGGTCATGTTAACTGCTTGTTATCTGGAAACTGAGCGAGGAATCGTTTCTTCAGTCGCGTGATATGTACTCTTTTATCAGAGTCAATCGCAAACTGTCGCAATCTAAATGTATACATATGTGCAAGGTCTGCGAGTTTGAACACTGGAGCTGTGGATTGTTCCCTGCGATTTTCGTCTATATACATCACAAATTCAGTGAATACAATGGCAGACACTTTTCTTTCACCAGCTGTAGTGGGTAGCTGCTCTAGCTCGATATTAGAGTGCCACCAAACTCTTACTATGATATTTGGCTTCCAAGGCAACCATATCACCCATACCTAACTTTGCCAATAGGTTAGTGTCTTCAAGTAGTGGTACACATTCGTGTGGCTACTTCAAATGTTGCCGAGTCATGAAGAATATCAGATCCAGTAGCAGGCAGTTTACAGAAATAACAGTGAGTTAGTTTTGTGAGTGTCTGATGTTGATGAGGACAAAGATCTGGTGCGCTTGCACGTATTCAGTACATTTTCTGTCTCTGGAGTCTGTTTCTTCCATAACATTGTTCTGCTCTTTGCAGCATTTTATTGTTAAAGAGGAGTTAAAGGAGAGCATGATATATGCCACTTCACCTTTGTGAACAGCCAGAGTAGCCTCAACGCCTGACCCATTTTGCTAGCTAACTGTAAGATCGTAACATCTTCCAAATTAACAAAACCGCTTGGATTATGAGCGAACGACTAATATCCACTTCCGATATCCTTCTCTTTGTCTGTGCAGGATACTGAAGACATTCACTTTACTGTTCTTTGCAAATGATACACAGTTCCCAGTCGAAACAACCGGATGTGGAGATATTTACTGACTTTGGTGTGTCTATAATTTTAACTTTAGACATATTTGGTTGTGGTGTTAAGCATGAAGTCCAAATTCAATATCATAACTTGTAATTTCTATCACAACTGGCATGTGACCTTTAAGTGAAGAAGATATTTGTTTCACCATGACTATTCAATTTTTTACATGCACATGAACATTATTACTTAAATGTTGATGTTTAATTATTTTTAAATATGTAGCTTGAACCCAAGAAGAGCATATTAATATGACATTTTTAAAATATAGTTTGACAAAATTGTCAATTTTTTAAAGAACTAATTGCTTTTAAATAATTTAAACAATAACATTACATGTTGATGTGATGATGAGTGATGTTCGGTTTAAAAGAACGACTGCTCCCTTGTAAGTTGTGGTGATTAGAATATTTTCAAGACTTTAACATTTCTTTTATTGTGCTAGAGCTATTTTGCTACATATTTTCTTCATTTTGAGTCAAAATTGATCAGACAAAATCCAAGTATTCATACCTTTTGTCAGAGTTCCAAATAGCTGTCTGTGTGTCGCCATTTTGAATAGAGCGGGTGCTATATCTTATTATAAAATTATGTATTTCGTCTCTTTGCATGTACCTGTAAATAGTTAATAATGAATTTATTTGTGTTTAATGATTGAGTTTTCTGATCCTTTAAGATGAAATGTTAAAATCAGAACATCATTTTATAATCTAATTCGCAAACAGACAAAAAGTTTAGGTGTCATCATATCTGAACATGCTGTTCTTTATGATGACCAATTTGGGCGATTTTATCATTAAATGCATATTAAACTTGATCTTAGCAGCTTCACTAACAATGGGTGAAACCCATTTCTGGTGTCCCCCGCCCTGATATTGCTGAAAGCTGAGTAAAAAACCATACTCACTCACTGACTCTTTCCTTAAACGGCGATGCATGTGTGACACAAACATACCAGTACGTTTTCTGCATACCGATAACAATAATACGTGATGCATTCAATGATAAAAATGCCTAGCAGGTATCAGTGGATGTCACCACAACATGAATTGTCCCTATAACTCGTCATGCGATCCCATTTTGTTTCCCCGAGAATACCTGCCTGCTCTGTTCTCTTGCAGGTGTATTTCTCTGAAGAGCATCACAACATACGTGTTTCAACATATTATTAATAATGCGCTATACTTACCTTCTTCCAGTTGATACGAGGAGTTGGGTTCCCGTCTGCGAAACATTGCAATAAGACAGCAGACCCTAACTCCGTTGTCAAGCTGCTATTCGGAAATATAGTTATCACTGGCACATGTGCTGGTCCTGCATCAAACAAAGACAAACAAAACCACATGGTAAATTCAACACGGAGTCTGGCTTGCTATTGAGAGACTGACAGTGGCGTTAAAATGTGAGACTGGACAATACAGCGGTTTACTAACATGCAGAGGCTGACGACTGTCACTGACCTTCTACGGCGAGACTGGCGGTAGCACTGTCCTCCCCAAAACCGTTCCGGGCAAGGCAAGTGTATCTTCCTGTATCGTCCTTAATGGCGCCACGTAATACTAGCGTCCCGTTTGGGTATTTAGATATTCTTCCTTGGAGCTGTAAGTGTGTAACATTTGTATATCTAACATGTTATTATACCAGTTTTCCATTTGCATAGACTGTTGTTGGTACAGTTTAGATCAGAAGGTCAATATACCACTACTCAACTACTCACTACTACTCAATTACTCACCGGCAGTTGAGTTTGGACACCGTTCAGATTAACCTTGAGCCAATCCACATTGGGTCGGGGGTTACCTATGACGATACAATCGAACACTGCCGTATACATCTCAGGAACAGTCAAGTTTCCAGGGGGATGCACCAGAACAGGTTTGCCTGTCAATGACAACATAACCATGGACATGACAGTTGGGATTACCTGCGGACAATGAAACCATATATAGGTCATGGACATGCCTATCGCATGTTCAGACAATGACGCCGTACATAAGCTGCCCACGTGACAATGATAGGAACACACCTGTGACTCTGACCAATGTATGTTTGACACTGAGGTTATGAACAGAACAATTCTGCATGTACCAATATAAGACAACAGTTACGCTGTAGATGGCGATCGCGAATCGTTCACGGATATGGTATTCGTGAAAGTCGAGAATTTTTTTGTGGATCTCGCAAATGTACCTTTTTATGAAATAAACGACGAGTTGAGGCTGTTTATCGAGTAGTTTATTCTCCCTGCAGAGTTTTGTTGTACGAAAAACAACGACCACGAGTCGTTAATGTCCTACATGAGATAACAACAATGTGTACAGCCTATTAAGGATGATGATAAAATGAACATACTTTAAAATATGTACCCGCATTTTAATAATGACTCACTGAAAAGAGTCCGACCTCGACAATATCGGACAAGTCCATTTCATGAACAGGTGGTTTGGTACTATATTTCCCGTATATTCTCAAAATCCGCATGTCGGTTTTCTGTACCTTTTCTCCCAATACCGATTGTCATATGTCTACAAATTTAGGATGCGTTCGTTCGGCCACTGCGTTTATCTGCGAATCCTGGCAAAATCTATGAAGTCACTTCCCTACCTGAAATAACGTCGTCCTACATATTACGTCATTAAGTTGCGAGCGCATATTCAATTCTCCAGAAATGTTTTGTTTGTTTGTTTGTTGTTTAACGCCGTATTCAGCAATACTCCAGCTGTATGACGGTGGTCTGTAAATAATCGAGTCTGGACCAGACATTCCAGTGATTGACATCATGAGCATCGATCCACACAATTGGGATGAGATGGCATAATCAACCAAGTCAGCAAGCCTGGCCCCCGATCCCGTTAGTCATATCTTACGACAAGCACAGTCGCCTGTTACGGCATTATACACCATTATTATTTCCAACAACCCGTCAACTTTCCTGAAATCAACTTTCACCAAACTCGAAACAACATCTGACTTGTAGCTCTACCAATACCATCTAATGAAAAACCTGAGTTAGCAGATGACACGTCTGAAAATTGCAAGACGATTGTGACCTCTAACAAATACTGGAGTGCCCCTGTGTCCCTCCGAAAAGCATAGGGAGAGGTTTGTGACTTAGTTTTGGCCTTGAGTATACGAGACGCCGTGACATAACTGGAATACTGTTAAAAGCGGCGTTAAACCCAACTCACTCAACGATACTTATATTTTTGCAAGATAAGCAATTTACCTTAGGTGCGTGTTCCTATTGATGTTTCAGCAGGTAATATGGGTGGGCTACATGAGCGGGCTATATTGCTAATAATATACAATAATTGCCCGCTCCGTAGCGAATCAGAAGCTAGTATTTTAACGTTAGGTGAGATAACGGTAAACAACCCTGAAGCAATTCCACATTTGCTGAAAAAGCAACGTCAACGGGTCGTTGGTATGCTGCAAACACAGTATCATCGTTTTGAAAATGTTATTCACACCAGGGTAACAGTCATGACTTGCCACGGACCGGTCGTCCACGCGGGACGGCATGTCAACACCCTATAGGTTGGTGCATCTACGGAATCGATACCAAACTTCCGCATTAACAGCTTGGAAAATTCATGGGTTATAAACCAAATAGAAGTCTTCGTCTTGATGTTGTCAAAAGTTCTCCACAGCAGAGGGGACGATATTATTTGCATTATGCTTGCCAGGCAGTTCTTTCTTCAAGCTTGGGAAGAGGTCGAAATCAGAAGGTGCATGAATACTCTGATAAACGCGGAGGATGCTCAACGTTATATGTTTGCATTGCTAGTATTACATTGCCCGAGTACCTATACTATACTAACATAGACCCCATTCCTACCAGCAACACCACATTGAAGATAATCATACAAGCCACAGGACGACCAGCGCCAACAGCCAAACACGTTACTGGGCACACACAGTCTACATGATCAAATGCAGCTTTGAAGACTACTCAGGGGATCAACACCACAGATCCAACAATAAACACGATTCCAAATCTGCCATTTCAAATAGCATTCAGTCACGCCACAGGCTCCCGATTCAGTGGACCATACCCATCGTTCTTGCTCCCAACCTCAAAGCCAACACCATCAACCAAATTGTAACTACTGACTGCATCCAATCACATTGTTGTTTCAGACGTCTTCATTAGATTTCATCCACTGGCACAATAATTTAAGCTGCGTAACCGTGTCCAACCCAGCTGTTGGTCAGTAGGTAGTCTAGCATCTGTACCGAAACGGTACATTAATAGAATACAGAAGTTAAAATCCATTAGTCAACTATAAATCTTCAAGAACTGTTAACTTAAGGATTGGATTGGACATTGCTGATCCATAAAGTGTGGACAGAAGGTAAAATGGCGAAGTTAGGAAAATGGAAGCTCAGGCGAGTATCTTTCAAGGTGATATTGGCGACCTCTTTGTATTTGCATTGTATTGATCTCAACATGGAGCAGGCTACTATGGGGTCAGGATCAGGGGTCACCATTTCATTTCATCTTCACAAACCTGCGTGACTTTGGACTTTGAAGCAACGTTCGAATCTCTGGATGCAAGTTCTCACTTTGAAATCGAACAAAACACAAACTTAAATAAAATTCTAATGCAGTCTGATTTGCAAAAGTCCAATTACCTGTACTGATATTTCGGATAGATTTAAACATTCTATTACAAAAACCATCACATTCGTGATCAATAATCAACTTTATAATAATTACCAATTACACGTTTAAAAAGAAGTGAACGCCAAAGTGCACTATCTGTCATAGTGGATATAGTGTTTATGTTTCGCCGGTTTCGAGATATCTAGCTAACAACATCATATATATTGCATGCTGAGTTGCGATACATGTATCCCTGAATTCATCCTGCACTTAAGAGACATATGACATAAGAGATAATACTAATTTCGTTTTCTACCTTTTTATTAAAACTGAATATATGACTTTAAGAAATCTTATCATACTTTTATTAAATATATGTACACAAGATCGGAAAAAAATGTTTGTCTTATAATTGTTTTGGTCGTTTGCTTGACAGATCATGGATGCCTAACAATGCATTAGGTGAGTGTTTAATCACACATGGTTGACGACATACTCCCCTCTTCTCGTATGCTCTATACAATCACTTGTTTAACCATTTTCTCTATATTGAATTCACAGGATGTAAAACTATTACTTTATGTTTATCTTTGTGTAATAAATATATAAGAATTGTAAACTAAATTGAACATCCAATCTGAAAACGATCAACCCAAAACATTTAATGTGAAAAGATTCCCTTGTTTGATTCTTATAGTACAAAATAAGGAAAAACAACCACATTCTAATGAAACACGTCCAACATTAACAAATATATCTGTTTGTTAAGAAGATTTGTTTCAAGTATTTGATTTATTCAAATTGATGTCAAACAGGTCTGCTTCTTGCCAAATATAACTGAACGAACAACCTATCTCCTACTTATCCATTCAAGGCATTATTTGTAAAGGAAAAGTCAAAAAAAAATTTAACGGTGCCCAACGCGGACCCTGAAGTTTTTAACAAGCATCGGTCTTGTCGCCCGGCTATCGTTCCGTGCATCGTGTCCGTCGCACGCCACGGCGAGTCACATGTGTCATACGCTGATCATATTGCTATAACAGAAGCGGATGAGCACTCACTTCAGTTAATGTTAGATTGTGTTGCGAATTGGTGTAAACGTTGGAGATTGCAAATTAATTTAACAAAAGCAAATATTGTTCCTGACACATCATTACATATACCCAAATCATGTTTTAGCTTCTCTTGTGGTGATGATTCCATTGGCATTGCACCTTACTATAAATGTCAAGGAATATAGTTACCGGAACATCTTGATCTGAAAGCTTAGCTATACGGGGCGAGATGGGGTAGATGTTGCCGATCACAAAGCGGAGACGTGATATTGTCCGATTCTGGATAAAGTTGAACAAGGCGTCTCCAGATCGATTAATCTGTACCGTAAAAGTATGGTCCATTAAATTCAGAAAGTCTTGGGACAACACTATGTTGAAACTGTTTGATAGTTTGCAGTTATCTAGTGTTTGCAGTTCCTAATGTTTATGATTACTTATCCAGAGACTTCCAGAGTATTAAGGAAAGATAAATTGCGATTATGAAAATTGGTACAGTGCTTTGTGGGATTATTCTGGGCAATCTAATGGTAAAAAACTCAGAAATTTCCAGTTGTTTAAAGATACAGATGCCTCTGTACTGCATGCATATTTGGAATCGGTCTCTCCGATGTACTCTAACCAAGCTACGTTGCGGTGCGCTCCCTTTTGAACTAGAGTTGGGGCGCATTTCACGCCCTAAACCCCTCTTTCTGAGCATATTTGTAAATTATGTAGCCTCCGTAGTGTTGAAGCTAACTTTCTAGTTGCCTGTGAATTCTATTCTGACATAAGATCGGATTCATTTCATCAAGCCCCTCTAGTTAATCCTTATTTGTTGACATGGCTCCAGTTGATCAATTCGCCTTATTAATGCAGCGTGATAAGGTATCGTCAGTCCTTTTCTCCGTCGTGAACATTGTGTCCGAGTGGAGGAGATGCCATCCCTCTCATTAGTTCTTAGACTATAAATACTCTTAGTTGAATTTAATTAATAGGGCTGATATGATATTTTTGTATCTGCAAATATTTGTAACCACTATGTATATTATGTTTTGATATTTTAGCAAGTTGAGTGCTGTCAATATTGTGTCTAATGAGCCTTTGAGGCCTGACGGTATATTATATTTCTGTTATATTGGTTTTAATTCCAGTGTAAAATATCCATACATGTTCTATATGACATGAACATTGAGAGGACAACGTGAAGCGTGAACACCTGACGTGATGTGATCAGCACTATG